TCATTAAATAACAAAAGCGTCTATTGTTATATGAAACGTTTTTCAAAGCCTCTCAACAAGGTGGACTTGAGTAGCCCTGTATTCTTTCGGTGGTATCGATGATTCCGCGTCCTCAATCAAACGGCTCAAACACGCGGACATCTAGCGCTTTTTTTTATCATTTGAGATCCAAGCGGCCTCGATTTCGAAGGTCGGGTAGAAGTGAAAAGAACACAGGGAGTTCTGAATTCCGACAAAATCTTAAAAACTGAATAAAGATTACTTACTTCATCGGTGCGTGAAATGTGCTCTCTCTTGGGCGGCCATTTTAAAATTTGCGGTCAGTGTGAAGTCTGGAACCAAGATCTCTGCCTCATCCCCAGGCTCTTCTCGTTTCCCAATGAGAAGACTTTGGGGACGAGGTTGAAATCTCTCTTCGCCTCGGATTTTCCGAAAGTTTTCGAATTTCCAACCATCCCAGCACCTTCATAATTTCTCGGTTACTGTCCTTTCATTCACCCCCAAATTTAAAATTACAAAATGTTGTTCGTACTTTACGATTGTATTTGATCACGTCATTTCAGCATTTTTGAACGACGCACGTGAACGCAACCGGAAGTAGGACTTTTTCCCTGTTTTGTCTGAAATAGAATCCGGGCCTACTGGAAAAGCTGGGCGGCACAAATCACTAAGAACTCCGAGGGGTATCCCTTCCCCCGGGTTAATTATAAGCAGAAATCGTTTACCTGGCTTTAGTTTTACTCCATATATTTCTGTTCTCAGACAGAACCTGTTGTGACTTGTTTGGCCAATGAATCTCAGCGTTTTCGCTAAAACACCCTCAGAGAGGATGTTTTTATTCTCTGTATTTCTGTCGTTGTTACCTGTGAAAGTCTAACCACAATACAACAGTTCAGCCATATTAAGCCGTCGAAATAGGTACAGTCAATCTATTACATTTCAAAAAAGGGAAAATAAAGTACGCACATACATTTACCCAGGGTTTTTATAAGAACAACATAGCTATTTTCCATAGAGATTACGTCAACAACCAGGGAAGTTTGAAATTGTCAGTTTCACAGAATTATAGTGCTTTTATCATTGTCCTTTCCATTACTCATGTCAATTTCATTAGTCAGGGGCACCCCGGCCAACGACTATTTTCTATAAAATATCTGTTCGCAGAAGCAAATATTGCCTAGCATTTTCTATTGTTGAATACGGTTAAAAATTTCTTGATGAACGTTCCAGGAAGGTACAATTTTCGAAGATTATGTAAAAATTCCCTACGATTTTGTAAAGTTTAATTTTTCATATTTTACCCCTTATGTTAGGCTAATTTTCCTAGAAAAAGGTAACCTAAAATTTTCGGATTCAAAAATGTTATGGAGAGAGGAGTGAGAAACATTTTTCCACTTTCGAAAAACGTTCAATTGCATCTAAAATTTTCTGGAAAATAACACTGAAGACCTTGTAATTTCGAAAAGCCTCAAGTTCCACAAGGATGACCGAACAGATACAAATTTTATAGCGCCGCTTAGAATGCATTTCTAGAGATCTAAAAGTACCCTGGATAGCCTAAAAAGACTTTTCAATGCATTTAGGAGGAAACCGTCGTTGGGTGCCCTTGATTAGTGCTGCAATCAACATCATTATAATTGTTATTAGGCTAAAGAATCAACCAGTTCTTCTAATCGAGTTTTTACTTTCATGACTAAGGTAATGAGAACGTAAGAGATAAACTCTTTTCATTTACATTTCGAAAGAGTTCCTCGTTTAGTAAAAGTCAAAGGTTTTCAGTTTAAGTGTTTATATGACTCATATTTTCTTTTGGTTCCTTAAGTTCTGCAATATGTGTAAAATATGTAACCGAATTGTACAGGTCAATAATCTCCCAAAATCTAAGTTGCAATATGACGTCAAAACGAAGTATCGACTAATTTCTAGAAAGTTCTCGTGCACGGACGTTATCTCACCAGAGTGTTCGCTTAACCAACCAAAAGCCACGCGCGTTTGTATATATCCGTTCGATAAACCAATGAAATGGCTCTATTTCCGTTCGTTTGTTGTTTCTGTTTTATTCGCGTGTTTTCATTTGAAGGTCATACGAAAATCACTCTATTTTGTTTGTGGTTGTTATCGGTTTTGTTGTTGTTTTTGTTTTTTTATGCAAGAGTTGGAATAGATAAAGTGGAAGGAATGCAGAAACGTACCTTGTTTTGAAGATGTTCCTTATAATCTTTCCAGGTTGTTCCATCCGTTGATACCTGGATTGTGTAGGTCTCTACCCACTGATCTGCATTTGGATTTCCTTGTGTTGACACAGCACAGACAATATGGATGGTTTCCAGATCTATTTGTAAATAAGGTTGAGCATCTTCTGTAGAGGCACACCATGCCTTTATTTCGTTCAAACGTCCATTCTTGGCTTCTGATATCTCAGAGGAGGCGGTTATATTGTTATCTGGGATTTTTCCACTTCCAATTCCAAGATCCAAATCAATACAGTCTCCTTAAACCCAAAGAAAAAGTAAATAAATCAATACCTTTTTCACGCTCAATCACCTAAATATCAGGAGCCAGTTGCATAAAAATTAAAGGGGTAACCGTAAACTGCCTCTTCTAAACTAGGGTTAGATGCATTATGCCGGCATAATTTTGGGCATAATGCTATGGTCGGACCATCGAGCATAATGCCTGCATAATCGCCATTTTTTTTTTTTTTTCAGCATAAAGAGAATGATAATGAAAAAAAAAAATAATAATAATAATTACATAAGTATGATAACTGTACTGAGAAATTTTTGCTTCCAAGTGCTTTAAGTGAGAATTAGCATGTTGAAAGGCTTGATTGCTACTTCATAATGTCTTTTTCCACCGTTGCATCATTTTTTTAGGCTGCTAAGACTGGCTAATTGTCTATCCATCATGGCTGCCAGTTCGAAATTTGTAAATGATGCAATAAAATTTTGTATTCAGGTCTGCAGGGATGGAAAAGGGCATCAAATACAGCCGGAGCTTCAGTCGAGCATAATGCTACTTGTCGAGCATAATTTCAGGCATAATGCTGTTGTTTTGAGGGTGACGCTCAAGAGCAGGATGCCTATTTTCCAGCATAATTTATGTATCTATCCCTATTCTAAGCCCCCACCCCTCATCCCCCACCCCCACTTCTAAGTCTCCTGCATGCCCACCCTTTTATAGTGCCGGCCTTTTTACCTGTAAACCAAAAACGAAATTCCGATTATAAGCCTCCACCTGCATATAAGCACCCCCATCTACCTGTTTTAAAATGGATTTCATGATTTTTATGTGACATTGTGAGGCCTAGTAAAAAAACAGTACTTGCAAAATATGTAGAATAGATTGTTTCGAAGCCCTGTTCCTAGTCCAGTTGTAATGATACAATATCCTCTTTTAGATCTGCTGCCATTTACAAATCTCCTATAATACAGCTTTAAAAACCCAGGCAAATTCAAAGCAAAGGTTATTTAAAGTTTTGGGCGGCAAACAAGGGGTTTGTGCAAGATATCAAACAAAATTAATCAGGTAGTACTAGAAAATAACTTTTGGAATTTTTTTCATGCATAGCATAAACTCTATTCAGACAGTGCTTTTTCTTCCTTCCTGTGACCGGGAGGGAACTCCGAGGCCCCGCTCTATAACTTTCACACCGCTCACGATACGGCCACCAAAATTACACATACAATAATAATGTACTCATCAAAACTAAAATCTAAGCATAACTTGTTTACACAATGACGTAATTAACGTCATTACGTCGTCACATTGTTGAATTTATGGCAGAATCCACAGTCTCTCAAAATGACCATAAAGCCAAAATATACCTACATAGTAAGGTGCTGATGAAATCAAAACGTTCTAACACATAAAAATCTTTAAAGTAACAGGGATGTGATGGTATCGTCTTTTTCTTATTAACCCTTAAAGTGTCAATAGTGACCAACAACAATTTTCTCCTAACAATATCCATACACTGTAAGGAGATAAAGCTATAAGAATGAATAATATGATCAACATAGAGAACATGCTTTGATCTTTTATCAAATTCTCTCAACTAATTGTTAAAGGAGATGTATGGAGATCAGTTTGGAGAATTTGTATGTGGATATTGGGGCTTAAAGGGTTAAAGAGGAAACTGGACTTATCCACCATCTTGATCCGCCATAGGAATTTTTTTTCAAATATATTCCGTTTTACTTAAAACTAGAATCAAAGTTTTAGTGATAAAGATTTGATCTGGGTATAAATTAAGATGCTTAGGAAGCAAAGAAATCTACAAGTTATGGAATTCCCAGAGAAATAAACACTGTTGAAAATTGAATCAACTTATGTCACCTGGTCATTTTAAGTCCATGTTTTTTTTTTCTTCTTCAATTTAGTTAGTAAAAAGCCTGAGTTACATTAATAGTTATTCTAAATGTGATAAAATAGTGCTAAATTAAGATTAACAAAAAAATTTAATCAGTAAAACGGGAATAAAACTTTTTATCATACAAAAAATGCTAATCTCGAATGCTGTGGCAACGTCACTGGTTACGTACACGTAAAGAAGAATTTAAACTCTCAGACAATTAATTGTAGGAAAAGTCGCTAAGTTTGGCGGTCATAGCTAAAACGTGTATGAAGTTATTCAATTTTTTTGGTTAGAGGAGGTAGGGCTCAAAAGTCCCCAAGCCGTGTCTCAACAGAGCTAAAACCCCGGCTAAAACTTGAAAATGTTCGTACAACTCAATCCATGTCCATCTTTGTGTCAACGGCCCTTGCATCAACGGAAGGAAAAAACATGCAACGCCTAAATATAGTCTTAAATTAAATAACAAAACTTGGTCATTGTTGAGTTGGAATTCAATTGCATGATGCGAAAAAAGTTTTAGCTTTCTTGAAAAGAAACCAGCGAGACATAGACCCTTTAAAGGCGGTAAATTTCGTCATGATTCATTCAAGTACAACAAATTTATGTTCTCAATATGATCCCGCACGTAAATTCCAAAGTTGAAAATGTTTTATTAACCTACTTGATAAATAGTACCTTAATTAATAATGATATTTTTAATATCGTTACATTGGGGACAATTTACTTAATCTGCGCTGTTACAAAAACATTAAAGGCCTTATAAGCAATGCTTCAAAGGAAATTATTTAAAATTAAACCTACTGGTATTTGTTTAAAAATTCTATGGTCTCCTTATTTATTCATAAAACAAAAAATCAGTGAAGTGTTACTCAATAGCGACGTCCTTAATATTTGCATACCTATTTTGGTTCGGATAGGGAAATTTATGGTACTAAATTATCGTTACGGAAACAAACAAAGTTAGCTGAGAATGTTTGTGCACAATAAATTTAGAACTACATTGTGTATTGCCATTGAATTTTTTAATTATCTCAGGAATTTACAAATGAACTAAGAAGGGATGCTCATTTATGTGAAAGTATTCTTAGACTGAAGTGCTAATACGAAATCAAAAAATTTTCATGGAATTTAGAGTCGGCAGTTGATGGCATTTCGATACAAGTGATGCACTGCGCTTGTGATGGATCATAACATTTTCAAATCAGCTGTCAGTGTTAAAATGCTACGCATGGCACGTCAGTCTGTCAGTTCGAGAAGATTTCTATTCAATGAGCTACTCCGAAGTAACGAACAAAACAAAACTGCTTAATCACGATACAACAGGAAGTAACTACGTAGATTCTTTAATATAGAAGCTGAAATTGAAGAAAAGCAACATTATATTTCGCCAATTTCTGGACCTTCTGACAGCAAACAATGAATTAAAGGCTTTGTTCACTGATACAGTACAAATCTGACATGTTACTTTAAGAAGCGGGACTATGTTATTTTTCAGTACAGCAGGAAGCAATATCTAGCTAATATCTCGATGGGCCACTATTCTAAAGGAATGTTTGCATGTAGTCAAGCCAAAATGACCCTAAATGGCATGTGGATAGTAACAGATAAAACTGGCCTACCTGATACCAAAGAGACGAGAAATAAGAGAAGTATCACCCGGAAATACAGCGCTAGATAACCCGACGCCATGTTAGTGTGTTTTCCCTTCGCCCTCTGAAGGTAATATCAACTATTCATGCATGTTTCGCTTGGTTAACCTTTCCCTTTTGTTTCGATTCACTTTTTCCGATATCCGCTGCGTTAAAGAGTTTCGTTGAAGCCACGCACAGCGCAATATGCAGGCATGTGACTGATAGCACTAATATTTAGATTTGGGATTATTTTGATCTAAAAAATGGACGTAAAGTTTAGCCGTGTCTTTATCAGATATAAAGACACTCATTAAACCTTATTTTTCTTTTATGAATTAGTAATGAGTTTTTGAAAGATTTCAGAAGACTATCAGAAGAATTCTGAAAGTTGCCGAAATATGTTACCCGAATATGTTGTTACGACCTTTGAGCACGTGCAAAGGTTTTTTAAAAGGCGACAATTTTACGGTGTATCACGTTGTGATACACTTTTCTTTGTATAAACTAGGGGTACCTTCCGGCAAGTGCCAACGAGGCGAATTCGATAACCTTTTGTGGGATGTGCCTAAAGGTCCTTCGAGAATCGGTGGACAATTTTAGGGGTTTTAAATTGATTTATCTACTATTAATAAAGCCAAAATAAGAATTAATACAGGAGATTGTAAAGGGACTGTAAAAGGGTGCCCTTATATTGCCTATACGGGAATGTGCCGCTGGACAGGGTATGGTTTTTGACCTCTCCGTCCCCTATTGTGTTTTTACTCTACAGTAATTGCCAATAAATTCATAAATAGCTTTAAACACGACGGCGCTTTTTCGTTTATCCTAAACGGAGTATATAATTGGCGTTGTTGACCTAAGAGGGTATGTATTTAAGGATATTCTTGTCCTAAACAGGGTCAGGGTTTCGAACCTCGGCGGTTCACCTATACCTAAATATTGGTTGAGTAACCCCCTGAGGGGTTTGAAACAACAACTTTGGTACATTCTAGGTTAACCTGGTCACAGAAGCTTAAAGCGTCTTTGGTAGCAAATCTTCACTGCAAATTTCATTTTATTTAAACGATAAACGTTAGGTGATCAATCCTTGAAAATTGAACTTGAACAAGTTAATAACAAGCTGTGTCTACTGTCTACACTTCAGCAGTGCTTAGTTTGAAATTATTGAAATCAATGTATTAAGTGCCTATATGGTTGTTTTCTTTCATGGTACGAAACAACAAATACAACAATTGAATTTGTACAAACGAATTTTTTTTAAATTCGTAGCACTTCTCAGTAATAAATATCAAAGTTTTATAACGTTCTTATAGATAGCAAAAAATGTAGGTAACAAAACTATGAACGCTTTGATTGTATTGGTCTGTTCACGAACTTAAATAACAGTTTCTTTTCCACTTTGTTTCACTAGAGTTCACATGTCATTTTTTTGAAATTCGTTAACTTTGTCTACAAAATGGTTGATTTGTTTAGTACCACAGTACTTCCTGTGGAAATTACAGGTTTAGTACTTCTTTGACAATGTTCCGTTGGGAGTTGTATTTCAATTTGACATCGTTTAGGCTGATAAGGGCATCTTCTATTTCGTCTATGGTGCTGCTCGTACTTGCTGTTGTATTCTTCAGGAGGTTTTCGATTTCATTTTTAAATGCAGTGAGCCACAATTCCGATTCATTGTGTTGAATACACAGCTTGACAGAGCCTTCCCGCCTGCAGTTGACGATCCTTTGTCGTACTTTGCAGTTTTGGCATCTCACTGACTCGCTCGACTCATCCCCAATTCGTTTTTTGCAAAGTTGGCATGCACTAAAAATGCTTAAACTGGCAACATATTTTAGTTGACTTGCAATGATCTCTCTGTCTGTATTTGTCAATATTTCTGGGTCCACTAATTTTTTGAGAATTGTGGTTTCCTCACTGTAAGTTGTATTCCTGTTGGTGCTAAGGAATTTTGATCCTTGATAATACCGTAGTGTGAGGTTTTGAAAGTAATAGGCCTTGTTGCTTTTCAGTTGTGTAAATAACGGTTCCCATATGTGGAGTTCCATTGTGCCCGTTTCGTCTTCCAATATGCAGTCTTCTTTGACAGATAAAGCTTGATAAAGCTTGGATTTGGTTTCTATCTTGTTTGGTCCCTGGGCTCCCATTGACAGAGTTGCATGGACGCTGACTTTCTGATTGGGCGCCTTTTCTTTCAGTTCTCGTAAAGAGACATCAGACGCTTCCTGTGATGTTGATTCGGAACGTTCTGACTTGACAAAATTTGGTACATAGGAGAATGGTACATCAGCATTTGCACACTGCGAAACATAGGATTGCTGGTTGAAAAGCCAGCCGTTGTCTTCATCATCTGGTATAAGAAGATTCTTTAACAAGACGGGAGACTTGGTTTCTTGGAAGTCCTTGATCTTGGGATGATGTTTTGTTTTGTCAAATCCAACTACTCTTTGCACTTTAGTCGGTGAAACTTGCAGGTGAAAGTCAAACCAATCATGTCTGGACCTTGCAGCGGTTTTGACGGGGGATATGTTTTGGATGTACCCATACTTGTTTACTAAACGAAAGAAAAGCAAACAAATTCAGGACGCATGATCATCAATGCGCTTACAGTGACAGCAACAATAACCCTATTATCCTCAATATAGTTAACACAATAACACATGCTATGCTATCTTAGCATAGTTTGCTTGAACATTTGTCAAGTGTCTTGAGCTAAAAAAGGTTTCCCATCTTTGCCCCCACTTTCCCATCATATCAAACCTATAAGCTCTTTCATAGGGAACATCAACTTGAATAAAATTTTACAACTTACCTTAGCCCTAGACTGCTTTCTTGCTGACATCATGAACTGTAATTTTTCAAAGTAACAATAACGTGTTGGCAACTCAGTTTACAAATAAGCCCATCTTTCATTGGTATGTTGAATGAGAAATAATGATTTTAAACCAAATGTTAATTCTCCAAATGTATTGATTGGAATATGTCCACTGAATACAGCATTATCTGACATACCTGTAAAAGAGGCACAGTTCTGTCAGATCCAGGCCCAAATGGGTTCTCGGATAGAATGTAACTGGTTGGAAAGGATTTCACCACTATTTACTTGCACACATGCTGTGTATAACATTTCAAAAAATTCATTACGTTCCAAAGACTCAATAGCATCTTTAAAAATGTAACAGCTTAACTCCATAAAACAATCAATTGCACATGAGAATTTTCCTGGAAAATAAAGGCAGTAATTCCTGAAATGCATTTGCTCAACGGGGAGGAATGAACGAGGCAATGACTGCGATATTTCTTTATCAAAACGTTCTTGTAAATGTGGTTTGGTTTGGGAAGATTTACGGGAGTTTGAATCCTTTGACAATGCTGGATTTCCATTGACCAAATGTGCTTCCTTGTTTGTTATTATGTAAGGATTAAACTTCCATTTGAAGCATACGGAATTCTTCTAGACAAATATTTTCGTTTGTAATAGGTGACCGTATATAAGCAAGGGCCACAACATCTAATTTTGTGTAATTGTAAATCGTCACTTAAACAAGAACGCGGAGGTTTAATTATGGAGCAACTGCTTCCACAAATAATGAGTGATACAATCAGCATGAAGCAGTAAACATGAAACATGACAAAGTTGGTATGCGACTGAACGCTCGCAGTGATCAAGCAATGGAAACCACGTGTTTGTCTTGATTTAATACGCAACGCTGGCGTTTAACGATTTTTTCCGCTAAAATATGTAAAAATAAATCACTTCGCTTCTTTTCTCGCAAGTCTTCAGAACGTCTCAGTCGACGAAAGAACACCTCGTTCGAAATTGACAGGCAAACACACAGGTGCGAACACGCTGGTTCAATGCGAATCGAGCTACGAAGAACACGCTGGTTCTAATAAAAATGTGAGCGTATAATCCTATTCCTTGATCAGCTACCGCTTAAAATTCAATTTACAAAGGAAAAGAGAGCACTGCAAACCCTGGTTCTGAATAGAGAATGTATAAAGCAAACACGCTGGCTCGAGTTTAATAAGCCTGCGAAGAACAAGCTGGCTCTGACAAAAATTTGAGCGTAAAACCCTATTCCTTGATCAGCTTCTGCTTCAAACGCAATTTATAAAGCAAACCAAACCACTAATAGCCTTTTCAAACTAGAAATCGTATTAAAACTTGCTCACCTGTTAGGTCATCGACCTTCTCCGATGGACAACGAAACAGCTGCACACTGGACCACGCAATCTCAAACCACGAGTTATAAATACAAGACCATGACGTCACTGCCCAAATATGGGGTCTTACTTACACCCAAATATGGTCAAAAATGCAAATTTTAGAGGGTTACGCAGAATTTGAGGGGTTTTGTCCACATTGCGCGGCGTTATAATCTGCCACCGAGTCAACCTCGCTTCTTAGCTCGGTTGCCTCGTTGGCAATAAATAACAAAACGTCTTCTGAAATTTTTCAAAAACTCATTATTAATTCATAACAAAAAACAAAAGAAATTAAGGTTTAATGAGTGTCGAGTGTCTTTATATCTGATAAATACACGGCTAAACTTCACGTCTGTTTTGTTAGATCAAAATAATCCCAAATCCAAATATTAGAGTTAGAATGATTTGGTCTATAACAGAGATTTTGAAGCCGTTCAAGAAACTCGCAGTCATGTATTATCAGTTGTAAAAACTTTCGGCTTCGCCTCGAGTTTTTAAACCTGATAGTATACACTCCTGCTCGTTTTTTAAACAGTTCTTAGAAGTCCTGGACGTTCTCGGAAATTCCGCACATGACAAGACGAAAATCGCTCCGCACTTTGAGTCAGAAAAAGTAAATAGGTATAGGTCTCAACAAGAATTTTGCAGAAAATTTACTCCGTGCGAACAGATGTAGTATTTTTTGCGATGACAAGCTTTAGTGATATTCAGAACAAATGAAAATAAATAAATGCTGACTATCAATTGTTTGTTCCTTTCCCGTGCTCATGATCGAAGTAAGGGAAAAACGCAACAAAGGACTTAAAGGGTGCGGAAAATTTACACAAACATGCACAAGCCGCAATTCTTCCAACGGATGTTTTTAAACTCCAAATTTCTGCATAAAAAAAGGCGCCTCGCCTTGTGTTTGTAAACATTCTTGTAACAGCTCAGAGAAGAACGTTTTTTCACGTTCTATTGAAAACAAGCCTGTAAAATGCCAATTATGTATTAATAGTACAAAGTCCAGTCAATCTAGGCATTTTCGAGGCGCAACATCAAACTAATTGCAACAGAATTGTTTTCAATGCCATTAAAGTAAGGGTTGCCTATCTAGCAACATCCTAAAAATCCGCCAAAATCCGTTCGGCGGAACATGTCAAAATTAAGCGTTAAACATTTTGAGGTTTTAACACAGGCAACCCACGTTAGTTGAAATTATACGGTTAAACAAAAAATGAGCAAGATGTGTTTGTTTCTTTTATGGAAAAGTGGAAGAAGAAAGAATAACTGCTGCCTAGTTTTTACTCATAAAAACGAAGTGTTTCTTTTTTTCAAAAGGGATAAATATTAAACACGGTTGGCTTTTGCACAGGAAGCCCATGTTCCATTCATGGAACCCCATAACAACAGGAGGCTTTCTGAGTAATAGAGTTAACTGTTGGCTGTAAAACTTCAACAAATTTAGTCATAAGGCTTTAAATATGAAAAATGAAAGCCGTTACTTAATCATTAGCTTTTAAAAGATATCCTTTTTCATCAGATTTCTGTTAACCGCAAGCGGGTAAGAAAATTATATATCAGAGTTGGATTTTTGAATAACGTTACAGCCAAACTAGAGCTCTCCCCTCAAGCAGTTTTTTTTTCTTTCAAAAAGTATCTCCAAAGACGTCAACATTGTTCTTTTTTTTCCTTCTCCTCCTTTTTTTCTCCTCGCTCTGTCTATTTTTCCTTTTCTTTGTTCTTTTCTAGGAGGATTTTTGGGCTCATTTTCCCTTCGGCTTTTGCTCGCTTTCTCAGTGAAAAGACTACAATTTTCGTTCGGTACGTTTTCAAAAATCCAGCAAGATAATGCTTTGGCTTTTACGGTTACCTATACCTTAATTTTTGTTAACGTACCAACATCATCAAATATACAAGTTTCACTTTTTCGAAGTTTTCATTTTCTTCTTGTTAAAAGTTAATTGGAGAGGACGGGAGGATAGTATTACTAATTCAGTTTACGACGCACAACAATGCAGAGTTTTTGAACAGGTTAAGCTCCAATGCCTATAAATTTGATGGGAGGGAAATGCTTTTCATTAAAGGAAAAGTGTTGTTACCTTCGCAACAAAAATTATAAACTTAACGGAACATTCATCGCATAAGAACTTTGGTTCTAGCAAACGTTTGTTTCAAGAAAACGAAATAGGGAAGCTTGCATGTTTTTAAGGGAAAGATTAACTCTGGGTAGCCAAAACAATGCGCATCATGTAAATATATCTTGTAAGAGTCTATGGAGTAATGGAGATTCCCCGCGCAGAGCAAGGCACGCAACTCACTCAGAAGGTTAACATGCAGTAAGTTGGGTTACACAACGGTCATCCGAAGAGAAACATAGGTTCCGCAAAAAGAGGTGAGCCATCAGAAGCTAAGTCCGGCAAACCCATTAATGTCGTTCATATGTCCAGTACTTTCGCGCCTTCACTGACCACTGCAATTATTTTCAGATGTTTAGGATACCATGTTTATTATAGAAAAAGCGGTCTTCATTTGCCAATGGACGAAAAAAAACTGGTCGAGGTTCAGGGTTGTTCTCAGAAAAGAAATGCAAGGAGGGAATATAAATGCCTTTAGACCACAGAGCAATTAATCTTGTTCATCTTACTACGAAATGAAGAGCTGCCGCAGAAAATACACATTAAACACGCAGATACACTAAACTAAATCTGAGCCTCGCTACAAGAAGAAGATAAAAAAAGAACAATCGTTGGTTTTCTGGATATCCTTTAGAACAGATTCGGCTAGGTGTAATGAAAAGCGCAGAGCGTTATGATCTAGTAAAAATCAAATAGACAGAGTCCTTAGCAGAATATTTATTCATTCACATTGTAAAGTACGGAGTCATAATCCTAAAGGAGGTTGCGCATGTCGTGAGAAAACAAAAAGAATCCCTGATTTCGATCACACATGTTGTGTCCAATGTTTGAACATAACTACCTCAGAAAACTCGATTACAGAAAATGGGAATAGGTTTAAACAGTTTGTACTGATACAAAGATATCGTCCGTTGCACCCATTTAGTTTCACGTATCCTGCAGCATGGATGCAAATTTAGTAGCTGACTAAAGGTGAACAAAATATCAAATCAAACTGTTCACCATCAGTCAGCTACTAAACTTGATTCCATGATGAATTACAGCTTGGAAAACAGAATTTGAAGACAAACGAGTGGCTGGGTAACCTGTGCAAAGCCATCAAGACAATACACTGACCCTGGTGTTTCTTACACATTTAGTCGGCGCTTTTTAAACCAAAACTACCCAAAATACATTAGTGATGTTGTATCGAAAATTCTTGTGGAAAAAATAAAAAGCAATTATCAAATGTTTTATCTGAATTTGTGATCTTCCCGAAATTGGGTGTCCTGGTGGTGAAAGTTGAAAATCTTTATTGCCAATTTTTCTCATGTTTCACCGAACTGATTTTGGCGGATTTTTAGTATGTTGTTTCAAAGCCATCCAACAATTGAATGGCGTTGAAAAAAATTTCTGTTTCAATTAGTTTGATGCTAATCCACAATTTGACTGGACTATAAAGGAAAGTAAAAACGTTATTTTGTAGGAAGGTTTTAAAACTATATGGACCCGTGTGCGTACTTGCCAAAATGGTCACGTTACGCTCCTGAATGTGTTCAAGTACTCTTCCCAGTCGGGTTGAAAGCATGTTTTTCGTTTATTTCCGCCCTTTTTCTTATTAAATGCATAGCCAAGATTTCATTCAATCAAAAATTAGACTCAATTAAGACTTAGTCATTGGTTGAATAAATTTTGCGGAATTTTTCGATGATTTTTTTAGCTGTCTTAAATGCAAAAAATTAAGATGGAAAATAATGATAAAATAAAATAATATAAATGAAAATAACATCCCTTCCCCTTTTAAGAAAGTAAATTGTCCCCAATGTAACTGGCGTTGGTGCAGAGATACAAAAACGACTATAAAACAAAAAGTGGCAAAGACGTCATAGATGTTTACTTTACGTTTCTGGAAATTTAAGGGACTCACTTCCAGTTGCTCAATCATGAAATTTGAGAGCCAGACCAGTAGAACAAGCCCACGTGAAAAAACAATACAAATAAAGGAAATTCTGAGAACAAGGCATATGAAAAAAAAAAACATAACAAGTTTTTTTATTTTTATCTTTTTCATTTGCATTTACACAGTATTACATACATACATAGTAATTATCTACAATACACGTGGTTAAAAACTCATCAACATACTTACACATATATACCATTACAGCCTAAAAGTACCTTACATTTTCTTTTTTCCTTTTTTTTTTACTATACACATGCGCAATAATGCAGGCTAGAATTGACTTACATACATTTTTCATTTTTCCATCAGTTTATCTAGGCTCGTGTTTCTACTACAAGTGCGTTAATCAACAATTAATGAATGAGGGTGAGTATCATATGAAGAATATATGATACGCATTGGGGGGAACTCCGCATATGAAAGGGATGGGATGCTCGTCGGAAATTTTGAATTAAACCCCTAAAAGAGACCGATCCGAGCGTAGCTCAAGCTTTTTTTGACCCCTAAAAGAGACTATGTTAAAACACAGACAATACACATATTTTTACATTTTTTCACGTGCAACCCCTAAACGAGACCTTCACGGCTAAATATGATGGCCTTTTGCCCAGAACACCCTAAGTGAGAACAAAATCCGAAATTTACACCCCTAAGCGAGACGACGAGCACCCCACCTCTTTTATATGCGGAGTCCTTCCCCCGGGATGATACGAAAGCCGAATTCAATAACTGTTTTATTATTAAAGTAATTTCTATTTTAAAAACATAGTTATAGTGCTCGTTTAGGGTTGTTCAGCTCCATAAATACTCTCCAAATAGCAGATGTCGCTTTTCGAGTTGTCTTCTTGCTGTTCTTGTCTTTTTTTTCGCTATTATTTCGCCTTGTTCTTACTCTTGAAACGAGTGAAATGTCCACCATTTTTGTTTTCACAACCAAAACAACTCAACTTCGTCCCGAGGTCTTCTCGGTTAACGGCGCATTAACCTGCAGATATGCTGCACTTTTGACGTCATTGGTTGATTAATCGCAAAATTCTTCCAAATTTGGTCATCAGTAGGTGGTGGTTATGGTGAATTATGCGTATGCTTTTAGCCAATCAGAAACGGAGAAATGTTTTGAATGAATAATGATAAACATTAACAAGTGATCTAGGATGTTTAATTGCCTAATCTGTTTGGCAAAACAAGAAAGGTTTTTTAAATCCTGCTTCTGAAGAAAGTTCCACATGCCACACATTTTAAAATTAAAATACAAATCTCTCAAGATGAGAATACGAAAGTTATATTTCATTGCTTTAAAGAATGAATGCCAAAATACTAGTTAACTCATTGTGCCACTGAAAGAGATTGAAGCCAGTTATATCGCGGATCAAAAGTTACCACGGTAAAATATTATTTTCCTTTTTTTCTGGGAATGGCGAGGACTACGAATACAAGTTTGAGACAAAAATGAATAACTATTAAATAAATAAATAAATAAATAAATAAATAAAATAAAACGGAACCATAACATGTATTTTGTTTAAAGATGGTCTTAAAATGTCCAAATGTGAATGACCTTTAAGCTTTGAAGGTTAGTTGGTTTTGATGATAATGAAATACTACTTATGAAACACAGTATATTTTTTTTCTTACGTTCCCAGCATGTACGATAGAAGTACATTAATATTATCCATGGCGACAGTAGTAAGAAAGCAAGAACACACGTTGGTGCAATGCTGAGGTACCTGCGCATAAGACAATTAGTCCCGCAAACTGGTACCGGAGTAGCTGCAAAATACCCGAGATTTTCAGACTACTTTACTATTTAGATGCAAGTGTTCAGACGCTTTGGAGAACGAGGAAGAGTTCAACTAGTGTAAATGAAGTGGCTTGATATTGATATTGATTAAACAAATCGGACGCCCGCTACTCGGTCGTCCGATTTTGTTAATCACTCGTATGATTACAGACCGAAGTGGACTCCACTCAGTCCTGTTAACAACATTACTCACTGAATATCAAGCCACTTCAGGCTCTTTTTTAAAAATCAAAACAGAACAAATTCCATTTTTTTTTGGCTAAAAGTCAAAAAAAGCCATTTAAGCGCGCGCATGATGGCGCGTACTGTCCAATTACTTAGGGATGAATCGTATTCCCTATCAAACTGTCCTATTGAGTCTGAAATCAGGGCAGTTGATAGCCAATCAGATGTGAGAATTTTGTTGTAGTCATGATTATCCCTTAAACTAGTAGTAATTGCAAATTAGGGGAGTGCGTTCGATGGGGAAGGGGGGATGGGGTGGTGGGTAGTGAGTGGTATTGTGAAGGGGGTGCAAAACCGGATGGGCTTGTAATATTTAGAAATCAGAATCAAACACTTTTATCAAGACGAATACCAGCAGCTGTTTTTATCAGTGTTATTGTTTAACCTCCCACTTTACAATTCGTTACTAATTCATTTGTCCTCAAACATGCAAGAGCGTATTGTACTTTTTACATTTACTTGGCTAAACCTGTAAGTAAAGTTTATGTAAGTAACACGGTCAAACAGTGACTATTATCCGCAGGATATTCCTTTGCAGTCTAGGATGGTCAATAAAATTGGCTAAAAACTGGGATACAAAAAAAATGAAAGTTACCTGAAAAGTTTAATTGTCGAGTATCACTTTAAACCCTTGATGCGTGACACTAGGCTAACACGACTCATGTCATTCAACGCACCCGGAATTAGTGAGATGAAAAGGTCAACGTTTCACTGTTCAACTTCTTGTATATTTTTCAAAAATGGTGACAAAGAAATGGAAATACAACGCTGTAAATAGCTTTTAAAAGCGAAAAGATGTAATTTGTAATAGAATTAAATATGGTCAATGTAAGCTGATCTTGCTTGAATCCATAAAAACAAATACAGTGTGCAGAACGCATTGTTAACATAATATCCGATTTTCTTAAAATGGAAATTTTCCTATACAAAAAAAAAAAAACAATTGAAAACTGCAAGAAAAACTATAAACAGACATGTAGTAAACAGAAAATCGCCAACGTTTCATCTGTAAACGAGTGTCACAAAATAGATACCAGCTTCCGGATGAGAAAAACTGAACACATGAGATCGAGGAAAAATGTGCCAGGCCGGTCTAAGATGGCATCCAAACCGTGAAATCGCCTGGCAAACAGAACAGTTACTGCTTCATTTACGGCACACACTTAGTAAGTGTTCTCCCTCGTCGAACACAATTATTTTTCCAGTTATCCCTTATCCCTAAAACCCCTTAACAGGGCCTCATAACTATTCATTTATATATTCTCATATTCTTTGTTTCCACACGGTTCAGGGTGCAAGTGGAAGGAAGCATTAACATAGTCGTGTTTCGTTTTGCCATCATCAGCGTCTCTATCTGGGTTCTTCATAAGAGATCCATATTCTGAATTGATTGTTGTTTGCTGCATTTGAGTAGGACGCAGCTCCATATAACTTGACTCAATTGGAGAAAACGGGACTTCTGCATTGCCTAAGTTTGAAAATGGTTAGAATCTAATCAAAATTGCACATGAAAAGGAACAATGGAAACCGCCGTAAACTTAGTTTTCAACTAAAAATTTCAATTAAAATTTATAAAAACCTTCATTTTCGTGCTCCGTCTCTTGTAATTCTCTGACAGAATGCTTGTTACTTGTTTTGGAATCTCGCAGAGCACGCCAAAGGAACAGATTCACTCCGAGAGAAATGATCAATGCAACTACTAAGACGATGTTTGATATTACAAAAGCTGCAACGTGAAAACATGTGAGTTAAAGTTCTTGTGAGGCGATTGCTTAAACAACCTTGTTTCTTGAGTCAGCTCTCAAGATACGAAGAGAGATCAAGGACTCCGCGAATGTAATAATTAATATTAACTTATTACTTACAAGGCGCAAAATAGCATTAAAAATATGATCTAATGCGCTCAGTTAGATCTGGTACTTAATTAGCTTTAATTGTTGATTATAATGCTGATGAGTATTTTAAAAGCGTGCGTGGTAGGATTCGAAAGGAGATGGGAAAGGATGGGAAGGGAGAGGCGGGAATTGAGAATAGAGGGAAACGGACTCTCTCTCCCTTGTCCCTAATAAACTATTTTTCTTCAAAGGAAAGTAAAACATGCACCCTATAAACAGACACAGTTTATGGCCTTCCGATATACTCACTCAAGAGATTGAAACTAAAACCAAAAGTAACCAGGAACATTATTTTGCCAGATATCTAACAGACGTTTTGACTTATTCCATTCACACTTGTCTAGCACTGAAGCTGGTGAATCCTTCAGTTACTAATAAGTGTCATATCCTATACCTTGGCTTCCCACACAGACTTCATTGTCTCGTCACACAACAATATAATTGTAATTTTGGTCAGATTAAGAGGGGGCAGAACTTGACTGATAACAGGGTCTTTTTGAGAAGTATCAGATAATTCAGCTGCTAAAACAAACCATCTTTGAGTTCGACGGTTCACTCGACTCTATTGAGACAATAAACATTGGAAGCTGTATTAGAATCAACTAACAAACCTGTATTTGAAGGCTTGTCACATGTTTGTGGGCACTCCTTCCCTCCCTGTGTTTCTTTATCATCAGATTTGTCAAATGCGGGTTTGAAAATGAAATGAGTGAAAGAACATTCTAATCAGTCAGCTAGACGGAAGGTGAGGAATAGAGAGGTGTGACGTCACGTTACCATGGTACTGAGTCATTCATAAGGCTATCGGTAAATCACTAAGCAAATTGCTACTGTTGGTCAGCTATTGTCTTAGTCTTATGCGCGTATTGTTCAGTGTCTTTTAACCTTTTAGTATTAAATCATTTGATGATCGCACCCTTACGCAACCCCGACAGATTCGGTATTGTTATAAACCTTATCATCATCAAAGACTACTTGCTTTTAATCTTATTCCGTTTTATTCTGAAATTTCAGTCATTAATTTAATCCGAGGGAAAATAATTGCGCGCTCCTGAGTAAGCTTCAATAGTAATCAACAATTTATTTATAGTGGTGTGTGCTTTTGCGGATTTGATCTATGCATTGAAAAGTGAAGTAATCAAAAGTATGAGGTGTTCTATTAAAATGTATAGCAACTTCAAGTCTTCTTGTCAGTTTTCATAGGCGATAATGGTGTTTCTAAACCTAATTTTAAATTCAGAAGTGGTAGAGTCAACGTCTTGGAAGTTACAATTTTAGCAGTGGACTGAAAAAACAGTGTTAATTCAATTGCATGAAAACCTCTTTTTCACTCTAAACATAGTCGATCATGTCAATATCATCGAATGTTAAATTCGTCCTGAACAGGGGCTTTTCTCCCACTCCTTCAATGCTATTCCATGGTTAAACATGTCCCTTTGACCACGGTCACACATGGCTGTCACTGGCTATGTTATTCCATGTTTGGCTTTTGCCTTGAACATGGTTGATCATGTTATATCACGGTCTCTTTTTCACCTTAAAAATCGTCGACCATGTTATACTAGTGTTTGCTGTTGCTGCCTTTTCAATTATACATGGCCATTGTCTCCATGATCATGCACGGTTCACAAAGTCCCTACGTTGGTAATTTTGTTCGTGGTCGACCATGGTCAAATTTGTGCCATTAAACGTACATGGTTGACAATGGTTTGGTTGACCATGGTCAAGCCATAGTTTTACCATTGCTGGATCATTTTAAACCATGGTAACTGACCATGATCATCAATGATAAAACAATGGCTGACCATATATAGTCTGACTATGGTCCTGACGCTGAGTAATTGGGCTCTCCAATAGATCGAGGTTAGCCTCCCACGCAGGCGTTTCTAGGGGAGTCTTTACTCCCCCGCCCCAGAAACCGTCACCTGCTTACCCGAAACCAGCATTTCTTTCCGCGCTTGGCCAGTCATATTGTACCTACCAAAGTCTGGTAGGTTGACATTGACGGCAGTTGACCGCATGAGGATTTCCGCGCAAATCGAGCCGGAACGATGTAAACAGAATATATTGAACACGAAATTTAATATAGTGAAGAACTAAATTTAAAGACAGGGCCAACTGGTCACGCGACACTGTTCAACTAATGAGAAGGCGCGCTTGTGTTTATCAAAACATCGACCCAGTGATCAAAAATTTCTCACCATGGTGGACGGAGGCGGACAGATTTTAACATAAGCTTACAGTACTCGTGTAGGTTTCACACTATTGCAAAGAAAACACTTGATGTAAGAAAATACGAGTATCATTCATTGGGGTGTTTGAATATTCTGGACTGATCACAAAGGTCGTGGCCTCACTCGCTTGCAAGATTTTCATCAGTGTTCAATGAGTAGCGAAATACATCATTTACAGTTGAAAGTTGCCTTCTTTCTCTGATTCTTTTTTATACTGTAGATAAACATTTGGAGAATCCAACAGTAATAAATGTTTCCAGATTTGGTGAGTTTCAGAAACAAGGCGGTTAGTATCTACCTTGCGCTTAGGATCTTTAATTTTATCCCCGCAAATTCGCCTGCGTGATACCCAGGAGTGGAACACGTGTTTTGGTCCTGGGAATTCAAAAATTGTCTACCAAAATTCTAGGTTGTCTACCATCCCCATATTCAACATGATAAAAGTCAATCGATATGGTAATCAAAGAAAAATATATAGAGTTTCGTCAAAAATCTGTGAGTCCAAAACATAATAGATACTTGTTCACCTTCCTTGAAAACCGACCAAAATCCCGCCTACATCAGGTTCTTTAAAAGAAGAAGTAAGCCACAAAATGGGCTGAATATTTCACGCGGCACTTCCAATATGGCTTCCGATACGCTGCCCACTTAAAAAAAAATTGTGTAAGTCTTCGAAATATGCCTGAGAGCCTCGAAACGGTGACTCTGGTCGTTTAGGTAGTCGAGCCGCCATTTTCATCGAGAAAAATAGCTCATTGACGTCACAACTGTCCTTAAATTATTGTCCGGTTAGTCTGAGTTATTTGCAGGAAGTTTCTAGATGAGTAATTTTCAGAGATTTCTTCGCCGCTGAAGTTCTTTGTTGTTGTATGGAGTGTGATGTTTTCACCTCTGATCTCAACAACTTTATCCGCAATTTGCCGATTTACTCTTTGGTGTACAAATTAATGAACGCCAAATATCTTCTCTTTGATGCTCTCTAAATTCTCCTTCGCTTTTTCGAAACGCAAGAGCCTTTTTGTGTCATTTAGCGTGCAAGTAAACAAGTCGGATCCCGAGTTACTGAACTTTAAACCGACTGCCGGCTCGATCAAGTGAGGAAGATCAACTCCGGGTTTCCCCGAAAATTTGAGTCTCCCTGCGCCCTGCAGGTGACTGATTCAAAGCGTCGCACAAAAATCGCTAGTATTTATTTGAAATAATTGTTATTTCTAACCTCACGGCGCCCGCATTTCTTGAGTTACAGTTGTGGACTTAGTATCCTAGCTTTTGAGTGACCGTGAAGTTGAGGTTGAACTGGTTAGTCTCGCTTGCTCTGGATCTAATCTCCAAGCAAGCGAGACTGTCAAAGACTTTAAGCACGTTCTTGTTGTGATACAAACCTCCTTCCTTTTGTAATGAGAATTATGCTTGAAAAATACTAGTTAGCGTCAAAGAACAAAGCAGGAAGGGTTGTTTCAAAAGAAGGTCAACTCCAGCCTCGTTTTCACAAGTAACTGTAAAATGGGCTATTCGCGGGAAATTGTAAAATAATACATCCCACTGCTGATTGGTCACATTACCATGGGGATAAAACAATGGGAAAGGAATGCTGGTCTCGGATAAGCACGGGTTTGTGGGAGAGAGGAAATACGACTTCTCTAAGAACGTTTGCGAGAAAGAGGTCTGCTCATAAATAAAATAAACAGCGTATTATAATTCCTCGTGAAAGCAAGGTTAATAAATCTGACGGAATTTGCATTGCGTTTGGCTCCCACAAGAATCGCAAGCCAAGCAAAGACCTTTGTCGGTCGTTAAGCCCGAGGGTATTTTTAACACTGAAGTAATGCAAAATGGCATTGAAATACTCGTTTAAGCTAATTTTTCTTAAATTTATCTTTGAATGCCTGAAAAATACAGCTCCACATGCCTCAAGCAACGTGTATGTCAGAGAAAAATGCTTAAAGTGTAACAATTTCGCCGGATCAATTATTCAAAGGCAATGTGGCCCAGTGATATGGGTTTTCTTTGAACATTTTTCTCTGTTTAGTTTTAGATTTTTTTTTCACATTTTTTCCCTTTCGCTTGTTTTGCTGTATCCTCACTGCTGACCTTTTTTGGCTTCGCGAGGTTTTTTGCGATAACGTATTTCTAGTAAGACAAAATAAAACATATAGAGGGAGATCGTATCGTTTCATCAAATTATTTAAAATTACAACAGAACATTGCAACTCTCACCTTTAGTGACTGATATTTTAGCAACCTTGGTGGGATTTCCTTTTAAAACGACCTATTATTGTGGCAAAAAGAATACATACATAAAACGCGTTGTCTTTGGCGTAACATATTTAAAGATACTCCTTTACATGATGTTCAACCCGAGCATATTCTTGTTTTTATACAAAATGTAATCTAAATAAAGAAATCTAAATGGGATCTTGTGTTTAACTGGACGTTCAGCTAAATAAGACTTACGCTTTCGGCTTTGTCATCAGTTAAAGCTCTCTGGAAGACAATATAATCTTCCCCTCGTTGTAAGGCTGTATTTTTGTAGGTTCCATAGTTCCCCTTATCGCCAACTGTAAATTTCCAGGTCGTCTCGTGTACTGGATTGTTACTTATCTCAGCACAAATGTAAAAATGTAAGTTGGACTGCGAGGCACCCTTTGAGTCTTTAAGCTTAGAATCATAATCAGGTGGAAGTTTTTCGTTTCCACCAGCCACCTTCAGAACTATAACTTGATAAGCACTGAAAAAATGTAATATAACACGTAAAACAATAATCAAATCAAAAGGTTAAAGAACTGTGTCAAGAGCGTGTTTGGAAAATATGATAGCATTTTTCGTAAAGCTGGCTGAAACGGGATGAAGTTTGGGGCAATATAAAGTTTGACTTTGGAGGCTCCATTGATTCACGGATCAAACTATCAGATGGGTATTAGTGTCATTTGTTGGAATGCTGATTACTATTTGGGGATTCAGTGCCGTAGGTATCCTGTGAAGGATAATTTGTCAGTCTCCACCGGACTGTATTTTTTTTTCTCACTCGTGTGTTAAATATGTTATTAATAAAGTTTGCAAAGTTTTTTTTCAGGACCGTACTAAATATGTTATTTACAAAGTTTGCAAAGCTTTTTCAGGACCGTACTAAGTATGGTCTATGTACAAAATTTTGGTCTATGTACAAAATTGGTCTATGTACAAAAGACCTCAGATTGAAATTCTCCTAGTTTTTGTGGACCCCGGCGCTTAGTTAAAGGGACTGGTTCACGATAATGCGCATGCGCGCCGTTTGTCTCTTCAGAATAAATTTGTCGGGTCAACACTAAATTCGAAATCGCCGTTACCGGTACAATAATTGAAAATCCTTCGTTTTATTCGGACATCCGTTGCTTTGGCTGGTCTAGTTATACTTGGGTGGTGATGATTAACGTGTGGTTGTGTCGTTTGACTGGTTACGTTTTAAGAAGACGCAAAAAATAATGTTTTGATCATGGAGGTTCAGAAGAGCATCGTGGCCGTCCGGCAACAGGACGTTCTCAAGAGTCTTTGGAGATAGCGAAGCTTAGTCTATCGATCTGGTATGGTTCTAGGAGTAGTGTGTGGCTTACGAAAAGTATACACGACACTTGGAAAGTGGTTAAAGGCATGAGTTCGTTCGACTTTGATTTGATTTTTGACTCCGGCCTGTAGTCATACCGCAACAGGCCGCGCGATCTTCACCGATGTGGTACACTTGAAATGTTCCTTGTATCTTTGCTTTACGATCGTATATGTTTAAGAACTGATGTTTTGACAATAAATTATTGCCTGAGTATTCTGTTTATAATCTAGTTTCTTTATGTGTGCTACTCGATAACATTTGTTTTGCGGAGCACTGACCCGATGCAACGCGAATGAATTTGTTCATTTGCTGATAAGCATTTGAAATTTATGCTCAATTAAGGATAATCTTTATACTCATACGTTGTACGTTTTTGTCACCGGTCAGGTGCTATTTGTAGGTATTTCTGGATTTATATAAGGCGAACTGAGAGAACAGTAATAACATGTTTGTTTACAAATTTTGTTTGCCGATCGGTGACTGCTTTGTTAGCGTGGGTACGACCTCGTAAAAATACACGTTGGTAAATGTTTGTTTCAAAGCAGGACAGGGCTGTAAATCTTATTCGTATCGGCTGCAACATATATCTGAGGAGTAGCAAAGAATAAACTTGAATTATGGGGATAAATAAAATCAAACCAAATGCCCGGAAATACTCTCGCGACGCCAACAATTAATTTGAATTTTGTAAATTTACTTGCATGCATCTAACTCGCTTCCGATTGGTTGAAAAACAATCAGCTACTGTCAGAACTCACACATGCGCATTATCGTGAACTAGTCCCTTTAATAACGCACTTATTTCATTAGCCGCTGGTCAGTTTTTGTTGTATGTAGACCCAATAGGTAGATCCATTTACGCAACAAGAAGTAGAATTTATACTTGGAGCGCGGGCGTTCTCAATTCAGCATTATGATCAGATCTCCAAGAGAAATTTCATAAAATGAGAGCACAAGACTTTGATCATACCTTACTGGGCCATTTATTTGCTCTGCAGGCCATAACTGGATAATGGCACTTGACTCCGAGGTACTTACGTCAGTTATCTCCCTAACGTACGGTGCAAGGGGGGCTATGTAGAATCAAAAGCAAATAAATAAATAACAATAACTTTATTGACTTTATCTTCGACATGAAGATTTCAGTACCAAAACAATAACAAATGAAAAAAGGTAAATAAAAGTTAAGTAAGAAAGAAAGGAACAATAATTTGAATATTAAGAAAAAAATTACTTGGTTATGTACGGCTTCTACGCTACTCGCGATCGTATGGTAAGAAAGTTTAATTAGAGTTTGGATGCATAACAATTTAGAATATTTTCAATATAAGAGGCACTGAGATTTAAGATGTTTTGATCGCACATAGACATGATATATAAAAATTGTGCCTTACAAGATATATTCATAAAATTACTGTTTATCGAGTACAGGCTCTCCAAGAAGAACCCCTTATATGAGAAAGCGATGAGTAGGTACATTTCAACAAATAGTGGAATTCATCACCAATTTCGGATTTATTACAAAGGGGGCAAAGCCTCTCAACTCTGGGTATCTTCTTCTAGTGCCCAGATTCAATAGGTACCAAGTGGCAAGAGATTCGCGTTTTGGATACTTCCACTCTTGTCTTAACGTTCTTTATTAAATCAAGAAAAGATTAAAATCTGACTTCGTTTTTCACTTCACTATACAGACTTAATTTATTGCCAGTTGAGGAGTCGAATTTATCCTTGTTCAGACTTTTCGACCAATATTCTTGGTATTCTTTAAACAAATTTCTTTTAAACATTCTAACCAGGTGAGGAAATGTCCTGTAGTCAAGATGTGGCAGATTTGGAGTATAATCATTTAATTTGGTAAAGTGTAATAGGTGTCTTACAGTAGTGAACCATAAATGCTTACTTACATTATTTAAATGGATGTTTATCTCTAGGGCGCTATTTAAAATTTGGTTATTTTGTAAGGGTAAGTAATCTTAAGAAGTACTTAAAAATTCTAGTGTAAATAATAAGATGAAGAGGAAAACGTCCGAGTTCTCCCTTCACAGCATGGTTACTTGCTTTAGAGTGAACTCCTAAGGCCATTTTGCATACCTTGTTATGCATGTTCTCGGGTGTTATTCGTTCATCAAAAATTCTCGAGACAAATTTGTCATAGTTATTCCCGACTGACTTTAAAAGATAACCCCAAATTTCACAGTTGTACAAAAGGATTGGGCTCACAAGAGAATCAAAAAGTTTAAGAACTGTTGAGACAGATGCACCGTTGTAAATATTTACCTCTGACAGGAAACTATAAAGAGACCTGGTGGCTTTATTATGTAGCTTTTTCTGGGCCAGTGAAAAAGAATCAGAGGGCCTGAAAGTTATCCCAAGGTAGACGTAACTATCTGTTACTTGGATTGGCTGGTTTCCTAGCTTGAATTCAGTTCTAAATATTTTACCACTTTTATTGAAAATAATAGCGTTTGTCTTCTTTATATTTATTCTCATTTGCCATTTCTTAGCGTAACAACTCAACTTATGAAGGCATCTCTGCAAACCATGTTCTGATTCGGAAAGCAGGATAAGATCATCTGCATATAGTAAACAATTGATTTTGCATTCTCCCATTATCACGGGATCACAAGTGGAATCAAATATATCAACAATGTGATTTACAAATATGTTAAATAATGTTGGGCTCAGGTTCTAACCCTGTCGTACCCCTACTAAGGGACCAATCATAATTTAAGTTGGAGGGGGGGGATGGAGGAGAAATTTTTTTTTATTCCAATTTTTTTCCAGACCCCCACTAATAGCACCCATGTTTTTTAGGTACCCCCCTTCAATCATTTTAAAAGATTTAAGGGCCCCCCTTTCTTATACATAATACCCAAATGGTAATAACAAATAACATTTTCTTTACTTTACCGTTCTTACTCACTGTCACTTCCGAATGTGCCAACTAACAACAGAAAAGCACTTCACACTAAACTGAGAAAGAGATTTCACCTAGAGCCTCTCAAACAGCTTATAGAGTAAGGATATATCAGTGATTGTGTTATAATTGAGATAAGACATTGACAAGATAATCAGTCAAAGCTTACTGCTTTTTATATGAGCAGTACATGCTCTAATAGCGAAAAACTTGACGGTGACACAGACTGTGAGTCCGCATCAACCTCATCTACAAATAATTGATTCGGATAGTGACATTGCATAACATGACTTTATGCATGTAATCATTTGTTAAAATGCCGATGAAATTGTTTCAGTGTTACACAATAATGGACGTTGTGTTGATGCACCTACTATTTGAGCATTAAATCTTTTTGTAAAAATGCTGATTAAATTGTTTTAGTATTACACAATATAGGACTTTGTGTAAAACTGAATCAAAATCAGGTCCTTTAATACTCAAACATCATGCTGCTCAGTAGGGAAGATACTTAAAAGAAACTTGAAGACCCCCCAAGGTCATCTTTTGGCATTTTAAGGCCCCCCATATTCCATCCAAAAAAAATTGAAGGCCCCCCAATTTCTCCTCCACCCCCCTCCAACTTAAATTATGACTGGTCCCTAAAGGAGTAAACGACGCCGTTAGACGGCTTTTCTATTTTTACCGCTGAAACAACTCTGTCATACATGCTTTTCTGAGATTATCCATATTTCATTAACTTATAGAAAAGGCCGTTTATCCATATTGTGTCATAGGCCTTTTGAAAGTCGACAAGGCAGGCGCATACCTTTTTATCATTTTTCGTATAAAGATCAATTAGAGACTTCAGAACAAAAACGTGGTCAGACGTCCTATAGCCTTTTCGGAAGCCAATTTGGTTGTTGTGTATTATATTGTGTTCGTCTAGATATTTTGTAAGACGTTCCGTAATAATTAGGGTAAAGAATTTACCTAGACAACTACATACAGTAATTCCGCGATAGTTATTAGGGTCGCCTATATCACCCGCTTTAAAGACGGGTGAAATATAACCCACCGACCACAACTGGGGGAAATATGCCGGAATTCAAAACTTTATTAAAAACAATACAAGCCCAATGATGGACACGCTTGATTTGATCATCTCATTAGATATACTATCATTTCCGGCTGCCTTGCCAGTTAAGTGACATGACAATTTAAGCCATTCGCCATTGCTGACCCTAGCAGTATTCAAGATGCATGTGCATGGCACTGACTTAGTACCATGAATCTTGACTCGGTGTCACATCTAAACCTAGAAAATGGACTTGTTTAACAAGGGATGATCCACTCAGCCGGTACGCTGAAAGCCACAGGTTTGTATCCCGTTGAACACTCGGAAATTTTCTTCTTTCTCAAAGCTTAATTATGGTTTGAATAATTCCAATAATTAGTAGACGTTTGGTTATTGACTGTTAAATATTCATAGACAAATTGTTGACAGTCTAACTGACCTTTTCATAAGATGGAAATGTAAGGTTTTCGATACAGTTTTTCGGAGATTATACCAAGAAAGAAGCACTAAAAGACAATATTTAGAATAAAGTTGCACTTACACAGGTGGTGAGATAACAAGTTAGTTTTCAGGATCGCCACAAAGAAAATCTACCAGAATTTCCGGGTAGATTAATTTGACGCTACACGCTATTCAGAACTTTTTAATTAAACAATTTCTCACGGCTATTGGAAATATAAAGTTTGAAATATATTTACGTTTTATTTTAATTGAAACACACTTAATTTTTTTACTTTAAACGGAGGTTAATTGCTTATTGTCACACTTTAAGTTCCTGGTGTCGGCTTTTCAGTAGCAGTTCTAGATCGCGCAAAATTCGGCTTTTATCTATTCAAAGTTTTTTGTTTGTTGTTTTCATAATGATCTCGATTTTACTTAAAACAACATTTTGACAAACTTCAATCCAAAGTCAGTCAGTGATGAAAATTTCATAGAGACCAGACAAGGATAAAATCATTTTAAGGCAACTGAAAATGTTGGTATGATCTCCAAAAAACTGTATCGAAACACCTTAGATTTATTGAACTGAGGCTGGAGTTGCTTACCGACCATTTTCGTGGTTGCGTCAACGGTGTTGGGTTGGCCTTCCCCACAAACTGATATACCATTAACTTTAAAGTTATACAGCGTTCCAGGTACTAAATTTCCCACTACGAAACTTGTCCCTTCAGCTGCGTCTCGTTCACCAGTATCAAAAAACGATGTGTTGTAATCCTTTCGTCCAGTGTATTTCACCTTAAAAAATATAATAATAATAATAATAATAATAATAATAATAATAATAATAATAACAGAAAGAAATTGCAATTAGGCTCTTAGGATAATACACAGATTTAGCCAAGCCTAAAAGCGGAGCTCCTTTTACAATCTATACTAAGCCATTCACTAGGTTCAATATACCATAGATCAGTATGGCTCACTCAGTCACTAATTATGTGGGCTGAGTTTTCGTTTCTGAATAAGAAAAATGTTATTTGTGGAATATTTTCTTTTCTTGCCTTTTCTTTTTTTTTTCGGACACACAAACAATTACAATACAAATCACATTTACAATTCATTACAATAAATTCTAATTATCGGGTTACTAAATTCTACCTTACATTGAAACAGGTAACTGTTATCATTTACTGAAGGAAAAAAAAAGTGAAATAAAAAGAAAGACAAAGTCCACGAAAATACTATAGTTTATAAATTAACAATTAACAGAAGGCTTCCTGTCTTTTGGTCCTCCTCCCCCATCTGCCCGTTTGTCACTTGCACTTTAACTAACTGTATAGATCAAATTATTTTTCTGACGGGCATTGTTTAAAGGTAGCCCATTTCTTCCTAAGGGAGTGTTTAAAGGTAGCCCATTTCTCCCTAAAGAAGGCTAAGTTATTATTATCAAAGGCAATCTGGTTCTCAATTTCCATGGAGCGTATGACTAACTGAGTGTACACTTGTACCATAGGAATGGTATTTCGTAGTTTGCAACTATACATGTAGTGTCTGGCAATAAGGAGGAAGTGGCGGAGGAGAAGATTGGATATGTTGTGAATTAAGCCGAGGCAAAGAGCTGCTGAAAAGGGGGGAATCTTTTTAGACAACATAACTCACCGGAAGTCTTTCAATCATATTTCGGTGAGACAATTGAAAAACGTAGGGAAATGTATCGTAACCATGGGTGATTTCAATATTCACCCTTGAAAACGCAAACTTCAAAGTTATTCTCTCATTCCTACTATCGAGAATCCAATACTCGATTGTCCGCTCTACCTCCGTCGGCTACCCTCACTGACAACATCTTCATTCATTAATCCTATTCAAGTTGTGGCCAGGGAGAATACAATCTCTGACAAAAGTGCTCATTTTACGCAATTCTGTATCCACGAGGGATACAACTAAGGTCAAGACAACTAAAGTGCGGGTTTTTCTCGATTCTCTAGTTTAACGCTGTTTTTCCTAATGTGAAATAGAATGCTCCCTTTCCTGGTAAATCGTATGGAGTGAATAATTTCTACTCTTCCTTTTATTGCAAGTTTGATGAGCTGACAAATAAACATGCACCTACGAAAACAATCTCAAATCGTGAGGCAAAACAGCTCTCTAAACCATGGATTACTAAAGGTGTAAGAGTCTCCACTGAAGTTTAAAATAAGTTATACAGAAACGAAATTTGTACCTTAACGCATTTCAGTGAACAGCAATACTATTCTAATTTCTTTGACGATAATTTGATTTATGTAAGAAAAAAAAAAACATGGAAAGAAATAAATAATGTACCCGCCAGTAAAATGAAGAAGAAAAAACCAAGTACTTCCGTTTAATTTAAGACACTAATGACAACAATTCTGTCACCAGTGACCCAAGTAGAATAGCTAATGTTTTCAATGAAAATTTCGCTTCTGTAGGACATAAACTAGCCAAAATGAGTTACCAACCGTTCAACGAAATCATTTTCATGTTCTGAACAAATGTAACTCACCTGAAATTTCGTTTGCTTTCAACCTACATGAAGTTACCTCAGCTGAAGTAGAACTACACAATTGTTATAGTACTCGTAGAATGTTATGAGCAGTACGCTGACTCGAGGAAATAATAAACCTATCTACCTCCACTGGAGTGTATCCCACTAAACTAAATAAAAGCCGATGATAACACTGACGTAAACTATAGGCCTATTTCTTTGCTGTCTAACCGTTTAATAGGATCTTCGCAAATTTAGTCTTCTCCAGAATGGAATCTTTCATTGTGCAAAATAATCCACTTTTCCTATCTCAAAACGCATTCAACACAAAAAGAAAAAGAAGAAAAAAGAAGTGGCGAGGAGACCTAACAGAAACTATAAGAGGTTAGGCCTCCTCGAACTACGGGCTAGAGCTGTTTCACATCAATTGAAGAAAAGATGGCGAGAAGTCGAAGATGGAAAGATTTATGAACTGTTTTCATACCTACTCAATAATTTAATCTTCAGTGTTTTCTTAAAAGAGGAAAGGGATTGAGAGTTGATGACCTCGTTGTCAAGTGAATTAAAAAACTTAGGCCCTTAGTGTTTGTACGACAATACGGTAGACGGTAGGCCTGGGAATTTCATGTACTGCAAGAGTGGAATTGATTGCTTTGAGAGAAATTGTTATTAAACCCTGGAGGTAAGAATGAATTTTTGCAAGAATACATAAATTGGCCCAGTTGAAGCAAATGGATATCATTAAATTATAGTATACCGAGGTTCTTTACAGTTCTTACCAAAGGTCTTAAAGGCCTTCATTTCCTCAAAACAGAATAATCACGAAAACGTTTTCAAAACTGCGAGTCCCTCGTAGTGATGACACACGATGGTAACTGTTGTTGGAAGAATTCTTCCAGTTTAGTAGTTACTCTCTAAAGGTTTTACAGTCAAGTTATAGAAGCAGATAATTCATTAATCAAGAAATAACTTAAGAGAAAAAGGGTAAAAATAGTAGAATTAATACATTGCCCTAGTAGATGGAAAAATATAAAAGATTTCTAATTAAGTGGATACATTGGAAATTTCGTGACTCCACGGAGTTAAAATGCTAGCGGCCATCTTGTTGCCGCACTGTCCAGATTCCAGTTTAGGCATTTTCAAGTCGACAAGAACTCTATTTGTCTCTTTTTGCTACGTTTTTCGTACTTGCAAACAACTCTTCCCAAAATTTTTTCGTGGCTTCCAATTGCTTAATCTGAAATAATCTCGCAAACATTTTCAAACACGCGCGCCATGCTGGACAAAACAAAGAAACAAGTTCCCCGTGACGTCATTCATGTGTCTGTTCTCCAACAGATTATGAGAAGCGACCAATCACAGCCCTCGTAATATTTATCACATTGTATAAAGTTTACCATTTTCCCCGCCGATGGTGCTCCACTGCGCGGGCTACACGCGCGTAAGAGCTCCACTATAAAGATACAAAGTAGATAGAGATCGTCAGCTACCTTGTTTAACGTATTCTGTTCGACTTGAAGTTAGTTCCCTTTAACTACCTCTCACCTTATATTTAAGGCCCTCCACTGGAACATTTGTTGGTGGTGTCCATTCCAGTGTCACTTTCGTTTCTTCAGACATTACTGCCTTTAATAAACTGGGTGCGGTTTGCCCTGGAGAGGACACATACGGGCAATAAATTGAGGCAAATTACAAATAGCTGAAATGGATGAACTTGCGTTGCATGCAAGCCACATTGTAAGCCACCACTTGAGCTGGAGAGAGGGGTCAGGGATGGGAGGGTAAACATCTTGGTCGCTATCTTGAATTGCATTGAAACTCTAGATCTATTCAAATACTTTATATTAAAAAAGGCTGAGGCCCAAACAATGGTATAAGTTGACAGCTGTAAACGCATTTTATTATTATCATATTTTATTATTGTTTCTATCTCTTTTTGCAAAAAGAGCTCCCAGTTTCTAATAAAAATGGCTCTACTTCATGGCACTTTAAACTTTCTTCCAGTAGCAACAAAGTGGGAACAAATTTTATACGCTTTAATTACTTCAATAGAGTAAAAAACTTATTATCTTTCTGTTAGTAAAGGCAAAAGTCCACGGTGGCGAAACTGGCTTTGTGGAATATGTAAATTTCTCATAGCCATTTTATGCTGAAACATTGCTTGTTTATCAGGGTCCGAATACTTGATATAAATGTCAAAACAGGCTTCCATGAAATATGTATTTCTTAAGACGGTAAGGACAATCAAACCGCTACAAAGCTGCACAACTACTAAAAGGAGGAGGCGGTAGTAGGGAAGGAGGCGGGTCGATGATTATGTTGTGTGGCGTGTGGACGAGATCAAGAACACGGCATCCCTTATTAAAGACGATAAATGAATACAAGATTGGTTGTATCACAGGCAGCCCAAGCTCGGTGCATAAATCATATTGAATTTCACACACAAATTCTTTAAATAGTTCGTAATATGAAAAAAAAAAATAACACAGTATGGAAACTCGCGGTAATCTATGCATCGAGCTTGGGCCGCCTGTGGGTGTATACGTCATCTAGATTGAAATTTCAAGTTCAAATTCTCGATTCGATGCTCCCAACCTCTCCTTGCATCGTGGGAAAAGTAGTTCCAGTTGTCGAAAATTAGCTATTTCAGAGTTACCACCAGCCTCTGTTTCAAAGCGGCAAGGCTTAGTGCGAAGCCATTGATACAAAAATGATTTTTTTCCGTATGTAAAGAAAACTTATTTTCACAAGAAATGTTTTACACCTTGCCACCTTGAAAGTGAGAGATTTTGGAACTCGGAAATGCCAATTCAGACTACTTACTTGATATCTTTAGCTGTGTGACAAGACCATAGGGCCCAGGTCCGACGACAGTAAAAGCCCGAACGGAAAAACTGTACTGGGAACAAGTGAGGAAATCATACAAAACAGCAAAGGTTTTTGTTGTATTGATTCCTTTACTGTTTGCAACTGTTTGCCGTGAGCGTCCTCTCGTGGCTACCAGCTCCACATATGCTTCATAGAGAACGACTATCCCATTGCTCTTCTCCTTTGGTAGAGGAGCCCAAGAAATGTTGAATGTTGTTTCATTCAGTTCAGTAGTGACGAAATTATCTGGACCAAAGCTGGGTGCTAACAAGAAAAAGAAACATTCAAAAATCTGAACAAAAAAGTCGTAATAATATTTATAAACGACAAGAAAAGGATACCTCTATATTACGGAAAGTTCTCTTGGGGGCAAAGATGCTTACAATACTCCTTTTTCTACAAAAAGAATTCCTGCAGTGAAAGTACTTGCCTGTGTAATTATTGAAAGGAGCTCAGATGTCGGCGTTCCGTCAGAGATATGAAGCAGATATGAAGAAAATCTCACCAGGGAGGACTAATCATAATATTCCTTTGGTGACTTTCGCAGGCATAACATCAAAACTTAAAAAAAGGTATCTCCATCTTCCCAACCGTTACAACACACACATACCCAACACTCTCGACTAGATATCTAGTGGACAAAACCTGGAGTTGGACCAAGTAGGAGATTGAGAGTCAGTGCGAGTTCTCAAACCATGTCGAGATTAAATCATGTCACAAAACCATCCAAATGTTCCCTTCATCTTACGAAGCTCTATGTCCTGGTTAGCAGGAGGAAATATTGAGAACTTTGTGGACACAACTCGCTCGAAATTCCAAAGCCGTAGACGCACTCGATCCTGCACCCGTAGTCAAATGTATGGCGTTCCGTTGCGGGCAAAATTATACCGATAGTAAAAACATGTTGAAAACATAATACGTAAGTCGAAACTTGTAAAATACATCGAATGCAATAAAAAATATGAGTCGAGATTTGCAAAATATATGTTCACGAACGAAAAAAAAACACGAGTCGAGATTCTGAAATTTGAGTCGAAAAATAAAGCGCGAGTCGAGTTGAAAAAAAAAATTCGAGTCGAGAAAGAGAGAACGCTGACCAGTTGTGTTGTCTATCGATGTCTTCACTTCACCGATACGAATAACCTGCGAAAACATCCGTTTCTCCTCGCTCTTGGTCGCTGGGGCCGTTTCGCGCGGAATTCAGGTTCTTGTAATTTCACTCGGATGTCATTTCATTGGTTCCTCTTAGCTTCCTCTTGTTGTAGAATCGGTAAAAAACACTAAAACCAACACTACAGCAATTTAATATTAATTGTTGCAACGAACAGATCACTTTTTTGATAAAAAAAGCATAATCATGTTACCGTTTCTGATGAACTGTTCAACTGCAATCGCAGTGTCAGACAGTATACACTGAAGCAATAACTCGAACCCCCGCTTACTCGAACTGTTTTTCCTTAACTTCAGAATTCGAGTTACCGTGCCCAAGCGGACAAAGGAATCAAGGGAATTTCCTCTTTTGTTAACACACGGTCTCATAACGGTATAGATGTCCGGCCTGTTACCCCCTTTCTGTTGGACAATCACACCCGAAGATTATTGGACTTACTGTTATGGTTGGTTTGTAAATTTTTGTTAGAGTGTAGAACTCAGGTATTCTAGGTTGATTGGGTGCTTGACATTTGCCATTTTCTCGTCACTTCATCATTATGTTTTTCACGGTGTAGATCCGTAATTAATTAGGCGCTTGACCTTGCTGTGCGTTTCTTTCAACATTGGTTCAACGATAGGTTTGTAGTTATGTTCGTCGTCGATTTGTATTTGACCTTCTCTTATTTTGTCAGTTTTGTTCGTGTCTACTAGTTCCCTTGTCCGCTTGATGTCGATGCCCCACGTCAGTGTTTTGCTTTAATTCTTTTTAACGCTTGTCGGTCCTTGCGTGACAGGTTATGTTTTGGCTTTGTTGTTTGTATCTCTGCTAGTTGAGATTTAATTATAACCTCTCTCGAGGGCTTCTAATGGTTGAACCGGTAGGTTCCAGTCCGATTTAACGTAGAAAGGGTGAACTTCCCTATTTCTAAACAACCGTAAGTCTCACAATATCTTGACGACAGAGTTGCAAGTGTCCTTTCGTACTCGTCAAGGCACAGAAATAAGAATTCTGATCTGTCATTTTAATGAAGCTGAACTAAGCTGCCTTTCTGAGTCCTCGATAAGTCTACTAAAGGAGAAGAAAAAATCTGCAAAATTTGGTAGCCAACAAACCACTACTTTGGATCGAAGCCTCGTATCGGTGAAGTGAAGACATCGATAGACAACAGAACTGGTCAGCGTTCTCTCTTTCTCGACTCGAGTATTTTTTTTTTCAACTCGACTCGCATTTTTTTCGACTCAAATTTCAGAATTTCCACTTGTGTTTTTTTTTTGTTCGTGAACATATATTTTGCAAATCTCGACTCATATTTTTTATTGCATTCCATGTATTTTACAAGTTTTGACTTAAGTACTATGTTTTCAATATGTTTTTACTATCGGTATAATTTTGTCCGCAACGGAACGCCATAAAAATGTAAAGGTCGCTATTTATTGATGTTTTAACCCGACATTTGACGAAACCACCGCTAGTTTCTCCTCGAAATGACGCCCGAGTAACGAAATTTTATACTCATGACCCGACCGTATCCAGATCTTGGTAGTGTTTCTGATTGATTAAAGCACATTTTTAACCAATCAGAAGCCCTTTCATCATTATGGAATTTCTGCCCTAGTTTCTTAGACAGCATTTCGCGGGGAACCCAGTCATGGCGTCGCAAATGTCGGCTGTTTTCTCAGGCTACTAAGGAATTCTTAGCCTAAGCATCGTACATGTACGTGTTTCCATTCCTACATTTACTAGACATGTCTTACCGTCTTCACTTGTTCTTTCCGTCACAACAGAGCTTTTCGGTCCTTCCCCAGCGTAGGTGAATGCAGACACTTGAATATCGTATTCTGTGTATTTCTTCATCCCCGTGATCGTCTTAGAGAGAAAAGATCCATCGTCAATAGAGACAGTGTTCGCTTGACCAGAGGCGCCTTTTTTCCGGTAGTACAGTGTAAATCCCGCAATAAGTCCATTTCGGGATATCCCGCGGGGTAGCTGCCAGCTCGCTGAAATACTAGTCGAGTTGTTGACAGTCAAACCCAGGTTCGTAGGGGCTTGTGAAGGAGCTGAAAATGAGTTGTCAAAAGGTCATTTTTACGATGACGAAATTTGACTACAACTTCCAGAAGACATTTCGTTTTTGCATTCTTGTTTAAATTTGTGAATCCTCTAGAGATTTAAAGAAAACTGCAATAGCCTTAACTTGCAGAAGAAAACAACAAACTCAAGGATTTTGGTAATTGGGGTAAAATGACGTCATCGTGCAATTGTCCTATTAAGTCAATTGATTAAGTATTTTGCTAATGGTAAAGGATATATAAATGATACATTATTATATTAATAGAGAAATATATTGATATATAGAGGATATTACAGAGGACATAGTCCCGCGATGATGCGAAATCTCCTTTCGACGGCTGAATAATATTAACTAGAAATATGTGTATCGCAGAAGGTTGCATGTAAGCATAACCGAGGCCACTAGCATCATCTGCTGTGGCGTTCTTTGCATTTCTACCTGAATAAAGAGCAGATATACGAGCTACTGGTGATCCATGGTTTTTGAGTTTCTCAAAGTTGTACTTTGCCACACTGAGCTTGTCAAAATATAATCGCGGTGCATCTGTGACGTCACTCATGTTTACGTGCTGTTGTGTCCTCTGACAGTGTCATCCATTCATCTTGATTGGTTTCACCATCTCGTAAGCGAATGAGAATTGCTCGAAACTGTTCTGCCTCAGGATTGTTTCCAGCCTGTCGAATATTTTCCGATAGCATAACAACTGTTTCAAAAAGACCGTACCATAAATGGAATGCCCATGCTGTGCGAGTAAAGAACTGGACTGGGACGGGAAAGCATAGACAGGCTTATCTCCAAGAGGTGGGTTCTGTAGAGTATCGTTTCTTCGTTTTGTGATCCAGCTGGAAGATTCACGAAGTAGATGAGGTGGCATTGCTCTGGCGGTTTCTGTCCAATAAAACTGCAAGTTTTCATGTGATTGACTTCCTCGTGAGATTGTATCATAATAGCGTTGATTGAGGCCACATAGTAGCATCCACTCCTCAGGTTCCTCTTCACGTTGTGGAACTTCATCAACGTCATCATCACGGTAGTCATCTTCATGTTCATCTCCATTATAACTTGACACGCAGAGAAAGGAGTAAGTGGAAGAATACAAGGGTTTTCCATGAAGCAAATGTGCAGTTTCTTAACGTCCTAGGTCACGTTCTCCAGCAATTACCCGAATCATTGTTCTTCGCAGTGCAGATGTAGCCATGTCTGTATTACTGGGCTTGTTAACATACAAACTGAGAATTTCAGATGCTGACTGTGATCGAGGTTCACTTTTTGTTGCATACTTTGCCATGTAGCGGATACACTAGTCAGTGTCAAAGACGACTTGAAGATCAACATTGGCTCTCCAGTGTTGTAGCATAACATGGTTGTGGGAGTTGATTCTTTCATCATTTTGCTTTGTGGTAAGTGTTGCTTTGACTCTAGCCTGGCTGATTTCCTCTACAGTCAATTCACGATCTTCACTTCTGGCTGGTCTGAAGAGCTTAAAGTCAACAGAAGTTTCATTCTGGCAATCCTTTGGAAAATTAAACCGGGATGTTGGCTGCTGCCCGGGTTTAATCCTAATGCAGTATGCTGTGCTACACTTTGTATTGCGCTCCACTGAATTAACAAGGGTTTTGTGGTCTGTGTCTAAATTCTCTGCATTTTCAATCGATATTGTTGATGGATTTGGTGAGGGAACGGTCCAGTTGTTCTGCGGAATTGCATCATTTATAGTTGTTACCAGCCAATCAGCATACGCTATTACGGTTGCTTGTGCTTCCTGTCCTGCGTGTATCTGAAGTTGAAGTCGTTAGACATCTGGCCGCGGTTGTTCAAACGTTGGATAGCGCTATCCACAGGATAAAAATCTATCCAATGGATAGCGCAATTGGTTTCCCTAATACTCATCCGGTGGATAGTGATTTATCCGGTGGATAGCGCTATCCAACGTTTGAACAACCGGGGGCTGGGTAGTAACTTGGATGTTGTTCGTAGAGGCGTAAAATTTATTCCAGCTTCCAACCCTGGGATGCTGTCTTTTCGAAGTTGCAGAGACCTGGGCCATTGAATAGCTTGCACACTATTGCGCAAGAATACTGCCTCGTACTTGTCACTCAAAGCGAAGCCATTCCCCTTCGGCATCCATTTCATGATGTAGCCAGTAAGTACAAAATTCATCTAATCGTGAAACAAAGTAAGCATCTGTGATGTGCGGATTATCATGACAGCCCTTATTCGAACAGATCGAGGGTACTGCATTGTTTGGCTCTTTTAGAAGTCGATGTAAATCTGGCCAATAGTTATCAGCAGCACTGAAAAGAAAGAAAAAAGTGTTCCTCTGTTCCTGTCTCTTGTTGTCGGCGTTGCCTTCGCTGTGCTAAGGGATGTTTTCTCTGCTCCTCTGCTCTGCGGTTTCTCGTTGAAGTCTTTTCCTTCGTTACTGACGCTGAACTTAAAGTCGGCGTTCTCGCTCCAGAGGAGGTTCGGTGGAAAATCTTCCCCGCGAAGATTTGCAGCCACTTGTTGTGCTTGGTGTTCTGTGTCATTTGCATGGGAAATTGCTCGTGATTCACCGATCGTAAACATTGTGTCATAGACGATGAATTAACACATCAACCCTTCATGAATAAACCATCAAAGTGCGGCCTGGTCATCGGCGGCAAAGTCTATGTTGCCTGGAAACAGAAAATGCTCCATGACGTCATTGGCGGACACCAAGCGATATATTCAAAGAAAGAAAGAAAGAAAGAATAAAAGATGGGGCATCCAATTTTGCAGCTGGCTAAGACCACGCACGGTTCACGTGTTGCGCAAAGCGCGCGCGAGACGAGATTATAAAATCTCTTCGCTCGGAAAAATATTTTTAAATACGAGAAAAGCAATTTCTCGCCTGAGAAAACAGCCGACATTTCACGAAGAATCAGGGTAGTGCCTCTGATTGGTTGAACCACATTTCACGAGCGGCAGGACCAATCAGAAGCACTACCCAGATCTGGCTAGTGACACGTCATCAGTATGGAATTTCTGCGCTCGTTTCTCACACGTCAATTCGTGGGGAAACCGTTGGTGGCGTCGCGAAAAGTCGGCTGTTTTCTCAGGTTAAGAAATTTCGTATCTCCAAGCGACCATGTTATGATCTATTCATTTATAATAATAATAATAATAATAATAATAATAATAATAATAATATTAATATTAATAATAATAATCTTTATTGAGATGACTTTTTTATATAAAATATGGTTTTCAAAAAGGATCTCATAAAATAAAAAAAAAAAAAATACACACTTCCGCAGAACTATTAATATGTACAAGATTTTAGCTCAAATTCATTCAAATTACAAATTTAAAAAGAATACGTTTAAAAATATTCAGATTCACGGATTGTCTGATTGCCTGGCTAAGGGAGTCAAAACCCTCGATGGCATGAAATTCGTTTAAATTAATAATTTTAAAAAGATTACGTTTAAAAATATTCAGATTCACGGATTGTCTAATTGCCCGGCTAAGGCAGTTAAAATCCTTGATGGCATGAAATGCAGTCCGTTGTTTGCCCCAATTGCTCTTGACACTTGGAAGCCTGAGATTCAGCTTAGTTCTGGAATTATAATCATGTTGTTCTTGCTGTCTTATGAAGTTCATATCATGCTCAACAAGTCCACTTAAACGCTTATACACATAAATACATCATCATCATATTAAATAAACAAAAATTAAATACCAACAATAGGATAACCTACATAGTTGTTTTGCTGTAAAAGGCGCGATTTATTATGTAGCCATAGCTTTTCGCATGTGACGATATCGGCCCGCTTATTTAAACGGCGTTTAACCAGTGTCTGACAAAACGGCGTTCTAAGCCATTTTCAGCTGCCCAACGCTTTTATTTAAACACCATTTTTCGTGAACAATTTCATTAGAGCATATACTGTAGACTAAAAAAGCACTTCTCCTTTAAATAACCGACCCATCATGTTTTCGCGCGAAAGCTCACCTGCTATTTCCTTGGTGTTTATACAATTATTCCACTCGCGCTTGTTGGATATGAGATGATTATAGCCAACTCATATCCAACGCGCACTATGGATCAATTGTAAAATATATTACTTAAATATAAATGTTATTTCAATATAACTGCATCTTAAGAATAATATCAAATTAAAACTAACAATAGTCCCTAAAAAGTCAAGACTCAGCTTCCACCTTCGTTCCCCAACAGTGATATAAATAAAATGACAAAACAGATATGGAGATAAATAAAAAAAAGAAGGCAGGATTGAAGACGTAATCGGGGGAGTAATCAACGATTGCCAATCGTCCGAGGCGCCTTCACACTCGCATTGGCGAGTCAATCCCTGAGAAAGAGCAAGATGAATTGGTTATCGTCGCTATCCTCAAAATAGAGGCTTAGCCTAGCACTTAGAAATAGCTCCACAGTGAAAACTTACCTCCCGCGTTAGTTCTCACAGTTTTAACGGCACTTGTTGGTCCATCACCCATAATTGAAAAAGCTAATACTTGAAATTCATATTTTGTGAATATCCCAAGTCCAGTGACTTCATAGCTAAGGATAGAGTTGCTTTTAATCGTTATAACGGTGAGTGGATCTTCGACAGAGCTAGAGTTTCTATACAGAAGCCTGAACCCTGTAATCATCTGGAAGTCTGCTGTTGGTAACTGCCAGGATGCTTGAACACTCGTGGAGGAGGAAGAGGTCACCGTAAAGCTGGTGGGAGCACGGCTTGGCGCTAGAAGAAACGTAAGTATCCGAATAGTGAAATCTACCTTTTATTGTAAATAGCCCATTTTACACTGTTACAAGTAGAAACGAGGCTGGAGTTGACCTTGTTTTGATACAACCCTTCTTGCTTTATGTAAGGTTTTGGAACAAACTTCAAAACGAACCTTAATACTTTCGGCTATCGAAAAAAAAAAACCGATAAGGTAATCTTAAGTTTTTGTGAAGCTTTCTACGTAGGCTGGTGTTTTCGGGATACGCGAAATGACAACCCCTAAAAAAGTCGGGAGGTCTTAACTGCCCCTTAGCGCAACCGAACAGTTAACTTTTAGAGCGATGAGGAAACACTCCAGGAATTCGGTGTAAACGCTTGTGAGGTACCCCTAGGAGGAAAAAAAAAAAAAAGAAAAAGACGGACTTTTCGTGGTCTATTCGAGACGATAACGCCCCAAAATGTACAAGGTTCGTTTCTCTTACAAATGGGCGACTTGTAACGATTGTGGGTTAGGAAAAAAGACGATGACATTTCACCTTATGATATAAGGACAAACTAGAAGAGTAAATAACGTTAGAAAATGCGTTTATGATTCTTCTGGTTTATGAATACCGAAATTAAACTAAGAGTATATAAAACGGGAACAGACATTAAACAGGAATCTTTACACAATTTACCTGTCGTTGTGAGTATTCCATACACTTCTACTCTCAAAGCTTTTTCAGTTGAAAACTCTGTTGGCTGAAAGCGGAAGAACCTCGCTCTAACTATACCGACTAGACTGTGTTTTACTGTATCGTTCCTCCCATCGTTCGCGTTAAAGACCTGCAAAGAGCGAACATTGTTGCAAATTAAATGTAACCATTTAACTAAGAGAATAGTCTCTAACGCAGCCGTTTTCTTGGTGCAAAAGTTACTTTGGCAAACTTTTCGCTAGTCAAATCGCTCGCACGGCAGTATAACGCAACTTTCCCTTAGTAAACTTAACATAACATGACCTAGAAAAATTGTCTAGTGTAACCGCAGATTTGTTTTAGTCGTATTTTTTATCAAAAAATATTCGCCTTTTCATATTGCCCATAAAACACCTTTTTTACCTCCCCATAAATTTGCATAACCATTGTATCCAATTTCCCCTAATAGCACGAGGTTTCTCATATGGTAAACAACTGAACAAATCCCCCAATACCAGAAATCGCGTTCATCTAAGACGATAATGCGAAATTGCGGGCGAAGGTGATCACTGCGACCTTTTCTGGATGCAATAACAACCGTTGATAGCCTCAAGGAAATCTTTATATTTTACGCGATCTTTATATTTTGCGTGACTACTACCGCTGGGAAACGCGGTGAATAACGAATTCCGCCCTGAAGGTGAGATCCCGAGGAGGCACTCTTTTAGTAGCTCGCGCGTATATTAAGGAAAGTACTTACAGCTGACATATACAGTTAGTATGCCAGAAAAAAATCTCGATTTGATCAGACAGGTCACCCAGGTATATCAGTAATTTAAGGTGGCTCGATACAGTTTTTTAGAGTGAATACCTGCCACGTTTGAGCGTAAACTACGTCGCCATAAACAAAGATTTGGAAAAATTAACAACACAGTTGTATTAGATAAAGATGAAACTTTCTTATGATCAGGGTTGTAATGGCATCGTAGTTGTCATGGCAACGAAATGACGCCATTACCTATTTTACTTGTAGCAGTATTTCTCGGCACTGGGAACTGTTCTTCCAAAATCGTTTACTGGAGCTTTTTCCTACAATAGCCGCCTCGATGTTTGTGAAGTTTAAGCGAAATCTGTAAGAGCGTTATCGAGATATTTTGGGAAGAAGTTTTTATGGTTAGAAATACGGTAAAAGGAATGGACAATCTTGATGTTCGACTGTTATCTGTACCAAACGAAGCGCTTTTGACATGCAATTTCACCTTATAGTAGTTTCAATCTTTTTAAAAACGTGTGTGAAAGATCGTGGAGATACCTCCAGCCGATTGCAAGAAAGAAGGATTTGATTATTATGTATCAAAGCGCTCTTATCAGCGGTAATGTAAACATTTCGGTCTACTTTAACAAATTAGCGAATAATTTTTAAACCGCTCAATAAATTTTTTAAAAAATTTAAGAGTCTTGAAATAAACCGTTCTTTTATATGCCCTCTTAGTTTCAAGATTATTGATATAATGTAAGGTAGTAAAATAAGGGCTACAATTCACTAATATTTTGTCAGAAATTTTGCTTTCACAAGTGAGAGTCTCTGATTATTCAGGGGTATTGTCTCAAGGTTTCATTTTCACGTGAACAGCAGTATCTAACAATGTATTTGACATACCGTATGCAAAAATGCTAGCTATTGTTGTGCACGAAAATATGAATTTTGGAGACAATACCCCTGAATAATGAGACGCTATCACTTGTAAACACAAAACTCTTGACAAAATATTAGCGAATTCAAGCCCTTTTTTTACTGCCTTACAATACATCAATAATCTTGAAACTAAGAGGTCATATAAAAGGACGGTTAATCTGAAGATTCTTACATTTTCTAAAAAAATTATCGAGCGGTTTAAAAATTATTCGCTAATTTGTTAAAGTAGACCGAAATGTTTACATTGCTGCTAAAAAGAGCGCCTTGATACATACTAATCAAATCCTTCTTTCTAGTAGCCTCCCCGCAGAGGTCCTTTGGGGTTCGTTTGTCACGCATTCATTTCTCCCCCACGGACGTCTGCTAAACACAGCCGACATTTTCGTTCACCAATCACAGGCCGTTTACGGATTTTTGTAAAACGTAACCGAGCCGCTTCTTAAGATTCGCACGATCAGTGAGGCTTTTGATCGAGTTTGCGAGAAATTTGTAATTAATAGAGAGTTAAACAAGTATCAGAGAGAAGCTATCCTGCAAATTTTATAGCGAAGACCGATGAGTTTATAAATTTGCCGACGGGATTTAGCAAATCCCTTATCTCTCAAGCTTTGCTGCTTGTTTGCGAAATATTGCGTGGAACTACTGGACATTACTGTTGATGTTGTTTCTCCCCTGGTAAATCTTGAAAGATCAATCTACAAAGCAGGAAAATATTGGTATTCCTGCTGTAACGCTCAGTGATATTAGAAAAGAGAATATGAGGGTTGTCGATAGAGGGACTTTCTCTGTTCTTTACGGAAGCCCAGAAGCTTGGTTGAAGATCGATCGGTGGAGGAAATGTTAGCGAGTGACTTGTACAGTTAGTATGTGATCCTTGGTCGGCGACTTTCCCGAGCATGATTAAATATTTCGTCGGGAAATAAAATACAATGAACAATGAAAGGTTCAATGATTTATTGATTATAAACATTCTTTCTTTCTTTGAAGGAGCGAGATTAAAGTTTGTTGACAGGTAGGTTAATTTGTCGTTCTAGCTTGAAGTTTGGACTCGGCGGCACCGTGGTCATGTTTACTTAGCTTGTGAATAAATAAAACGCAATGGGAGGACGTGCCTTTTTGCAGAACAAGTTTTCAGATAAACGTTTTTCTGCCGTTGGAAGCACATTGCTGTAGACTTCGAATTTTTGTTTTACCGACTCTTGAAAAAATATAACCAAATTTTGCGTACTGGTCCTTGGTTCGCGACCCATGACCTTGGTGGAATTACATTTCGCAAAAAAGGAAACGGCCTTTGTTTTCGAAGAATGCGTTGAATATCTTCCCTGTACACGTTTACAAGCTCTCTTTTCTTAATACTTGGAATATATACAGAGTTAATAGTAATTATTGTTTTCGACCGCGCTGAAAACCGCTCCGCGCTCGTGTGGGAGACTGTTGTCTGAAGCCTTTCAAAGAAAAGCAGATTATTTTATAGTCACAACTTCCGAAAAAAATATACAGCTGACTGCAGCTTTATTGCATCGTTTCTGTGATTTCTTCAAAACGTTTGAGTCGTCTCATGTAGAAGATAGCCGTGCAAATAAATAATTCATTTGAGAATACCAGAGACATCACTTATATCACGGCAAGTGATTGACTGATCGTGACACAATAACTAACCGCTTATTGGCTTATTCAAACAATCCAGAACGTAAAAGTCTGCTCTGTTTAGCAGACGTCCGTGGGGGAGAAATGAATGCGTGACAAACGAACCACAAAGGACGTCTGCGGGGAGGCTATCTTTCTAGCAATCGGCTGGAGGTATCTCCATGATCTTTCACACACGTTTTTAAAAAGATTGAAACTACTATGGGGTGAAATTGCATGTCAAAAGTGCTTCGTTTAGTACAGATAACAGTCGAACATCAAGATTGTCCATTTTTTACCGTATTTCTAACCATAAAAACTTCTTCTCAAAGTATCTCGATAACGCTCTTACAGATTTCGCTTAAACTTCACAAACATCGAGGCGGCTACTGTAGGAAAAAGCTCCAGTAAACGATTTTGGAAGAACAGTTCCCAGTGCCGAGAAATACTGCTACAAGTAAAATAGGTAATGGCGTCATTTCGTTGCTATGACAACTCTGATGTCATTGCAACCCTGATCATAACAAATTTTCATCTTTATCTAATACAACTGTGTTGTCAATTTTTCCAAATCTTTGTTTATGGCGACGTAGTGTACGCTCAAACTTGGGAGGTATTGACTTTGAAAAACTATATCGAGCCACCTTAAATTCTGTAAGAAATCAATTTGCCTTTCAGCTGCGACTAAATAAAGGATTACTACTAGATTTCCCTCGTGGGAAGATGTTGACATCTTTCGGAGGCATCTCGTTAAGGAAATCAAAAACAGGTCAACAGTTTATTTTTAAAATCCTTACTCAAAACATACCTTTTAAAACTAGCTTTTAATTCTTAGTATTTTTTATCTTATTTTCTTTAAAAATTTCAAAGGATTTTTAGAATTCATGATTTAATGCGCCTTTGATCATTGTATGTTAAGAGGCATAATATAAGTAGTAAATTACTATTATTATTATTATTAGTATCATTGTTATTATTGACAGGGGCTGCATGGAATCGTTGGGGAATGACGACGTTTCTATTGTTCGCTCCCGCAAGTAAGAGAAGGTTAGGATGACGTAAAAAAGAAAATCTTCAACGGACCGCTTGGGTAGATTTTGTGACATTTATTATACAGTCATACTTCGATACTCTTTTGCGTTATAATTAACAATTATTCCTCGAGCCCGAATGGGCTCTGAGTCAATAGCCTATGAGGCCGAGGAATAATTGTTAATTAGTAAAATCTAACTAGTTGGTCAAAAATAACGAGAATAAAAAATTTTTAGCTAGTTAAAGCTAGACTTAAATCCATTTTTTGCCGCCAAAAAGCCCGCGCTTTTCGCTACTAGGGGGCTATAAAATATAGCCTAGTAGTAGGTCAACCAATCAGAATTCAGCATTGATAATATACCACTAGCTGGATTTTACAAATACGTGTTATCAGTGACATTCTGCGGAGCGGCTGTTTTAAAAGTTATGGACCAAAAGATACTCGTTAAGCGCGTATGAAGTTATCAGGAGCGTATGACTGCGCATATATAAACACTGGGAGAGTTTGCCAGGCACGAATTCACAAATCTTTGATTGGAAACAGCTTGCCAGACACTTTTTCTCTCTTTTTGGGGGAATAAGTCTCAGTCCACAAACAAGCAAGACGAGTGATTTAACGGCTTATAGCCCACAACTAGCAGACAATGGACGACGAAATATTCGCCGAAAATCAAATTTTGTGCTGACTTACTCCCTGCTCAAAGATGAACGCGCGAGTGTGATTTGATCAAGCCTTTGAATTTCTAAGGCTTATTTTGCGGCAAATAAAATGAACTGTATGTAAAAAGTGAAAGAGAAATAGCAAAAGATTCCAACTTATAATAAAATATTTTCTTATGGTTTAGAATAAACTATCCTCGAAACTGAGAATGTTTTGACCAAAGCTGTATAAATCGAACAGAATCAGTCACAGGCGGCCCAAGGTCGGTGCATTAATTACTGCGAGTTTCGATACTGTTTTGCATATTATGAACGATTTAACGAATTTGTTTGAGAAATTCAATATAGTTGTTAAACCGTAGAAATAAAGGCGTAAATATAGAAATAAATTTTTCTTACGTAAACTTGGGTCTGTCGTCGCTTTTTCTGTGTAACCTGGGCTCAATTCATGGCAATCTTGTAAGGTTTTGCGGCTTGTTTATTGTTCGGTGTTGTTTCCCAATACATAAAGTGAAGCAAGGTAGGTTACTGTGTGCAGTCTCAACTCACAAATCTCCCTCGCATCAAAGAACCGCGTACTGATTCACCCTGAAAGCGCCAAATCCTTACAACCAGGAGAGTCTCTTATCTTTTCCTCTCGACCTGGGTATTGCGATCTGTTATTTTTGTGCGAAAAATTTTTGGAAGTTTTTCGGGTCTGGGCAATCTGACGTGCGCTCAGGAACCTTGATGACTGCGCGTTGCGTGGTGATCGGGTAATCACTATCGAATGACAAAACATGGATCTTCCTACCCTCAGATAGTCCAATGATTGCGCGTGAGCGGTGTTTGGAATTATCCAATTGGATGAGGGTATATAAAATGTTCGTGTTCACCACGTAACACGTAGTCATCGAGGTTCCTAAGCGCACGTCAGATTGCTCAGAACCAAACAATTTTCCTACAAAAACTCAAATCGCAGTAGGCCATTTGCACTAAAAGGTCATGAGACATCATTTTTTATGAAAATGAAAGATATACGATTTTCCTTTCAAAAAACGATTAGTGGGTCATATCTCAAACAAAATAATAAGTTATTTGGTTTTTCAAACCCGCACCATTTTCTTGAAATGAGTAAGTTCGTAGCTGGTCACGTGACAAAAATGTGATTTTAAAACTTTGAATTACCTCTTTCTGAACAGAAATTTTGCACTTAAACTTCAAGGTGTGTTAAAAAGATGATGTGGTAACGTTTACAGCAAATCTGAGCGTAACTATAAAAAGTTTAACAAGATACAAACAAAAAGTAGTTATGGCCGCCATGTCGGAGGGCATTAAAGCCAATACAAATCAGACTTCTTTGTTAAAAAATCAAAGTGCCATAAAATATCTCCCTTAAATGCATTTCGTCTCAAATTTCGGGTGTACGATAATTTTTAGACCCTCAGTCAATTTTTGTAATTAATAGGATGCTAAGTCATTGTTTAAAGGAAGCATTGGTCACGTGATCTCTTAGTGCAAGTGGCCTTTACCCATTACGAGGGGAAGAAATAAGAAACTCCTCACCTGGCCTTAAGGATTTGGCGCCTTCATGCTGAATCGGTACGCGTTTTTGATGCGGGAGAGATTTGTGAGTGGAGACTACACGCAGTAACCTGCCTTGCTTGGCTTTGTGTAAGAAATCAACACCGAACAAAAAACGAGCAGAAAGACCCTATAAAATGGCCATGAATTGAGCCCAGGTTGCACAGAAAAAACAACAACAGGCCCAAGTTTACGTAAGTAAAATTTATTTCTATATTTATGCCTATATTCCTACGTTTTAACAACTACATTGGATTTCTCATACAAAGTCTTTAAATCGCTAATTTATGCACCGCGCTTGGGTCGCCTATGAACGACCGAGAGTACTATTGACCGACACTATACAGAGCGGGGGCAGCTGTTATGTCAACTATTGTATATCACTTTCAGTTGAACGTCCGAGTTCCAAAAATTCCCTCTACGCGCTAAACTACCCAAAACTTTCTTGAGGTGATGAGTTTTCTTAAGATAATAATTTTCATATCAATAATTTCCCACTTAGCCTCGCTTTGAGGCTTAAAGCAACTCTAATTGCGTTGCCACTTTTCTTGTGTCCAAACATACCTTGTCAATGTCGTTTTCTTGATAAGTAATCCAAGTTGAGTTGTCCAGCGAATAAAGTAATTTGTACTTTGTTGTCCAGTGATCGTGACTTGAACTTCCTTGAGTGGCTACAGCGCAGACAAAGAACTGGTCTTTCAGGTCAATTTGTAAGTAGTCGTCAGCATCATTATTTTCGCTAGGTGACCAGGCGCCATCTCCGTTTAGACGACCTTTGGAAGCTTCATTACCAGAACGATGAGTCTTGGCAGAGAAGCTGTTGTCTGGGATAGCGTCACTGCTGGCCAGACCGATGGCCTGGATTTGGCACGCTAAAAAAGGACATTTATAACTTAATCATATGTTGATTGAACCTTACGAGGACAAGAGTGAATAGATTTTTTTCTGTTATATCGTCCCTGAGAGATCACGTGATGTGGTTAAGATGGACGGCCGCGTGTTTAAGTGCTCCGCGTAACATTTCGTAAATTTCTGATGTTTAAGTGTTCCTTCTGCTTTTTTCTATTTGTTTTGTTATCTTGTTTCGTGTGTCACATTATGCCTGAGTAATCGTTATGTACATGCCTTGTTTTATGTTAGTTTAAATTCTATTTACTGTATTGTAGTGTCTTCACTGTTATTTAGTCCATCTATATATAAATCTTGTTTTGTAATATGTCTTCAGCTCCCCCCGCCTCGATTAGTTCATAAGCTATTTGCGGGTGGGAAAGTAATGTAATTAGTTATTTTCCAATTTTCAATAAAATTTGTTTGTTGTTGTTGTTGTTGAGTAAGTAACTGTATCATGTTCAAGATTTTCTTTGCTGTGTTTTTCGAATGTTAAAAAGTATCCTCGCTCAATTTAATTCGAAGATTAATGGTCCAGTTTTTGTTATTCAAGGCTGTATTCAGGCACTGAAACTGTTCCTGTCTTCTACTGCAAAGGATGGCAAAAGTGGACGTGAACTAAAGCTTGACAATGTTTGGCCAAATTTTTTAAGTTGTAATGCGGTGCCTAGAATAATCACCGAAAAAACTGTAATGTGTAGTTCCAGAAAATATCCGTATCCTCACCCCCCTCCACGGAGGGAAACGGGAATTCCGAGGGGAGAGAAGGTCCAAGAGAAGGCAATTTTCGAGGGGGTGGGGATTTGCTTCCCCAGGTTGGTTCTAATTACGGTAAAGCTCTCTGTACAAATTCAAGACTTTACCAGACATAATTCCAAACCAACAGTTTGTTTTCCAGACTCAACGTTATCAAATACAGTCGAACAGACTAAGTGGTCGCTTGCGGGAGGTAGTCGCTTACAAGAATCGAGGCACATGGGGCCTCATCCAAGAAGAGGTCCAGACACATCTACTGACTTTATGGAAGATATTTAATGCATGCAATGTCTAAGTTACGCCATGTGTAGTTCCGTGCTGCGGGAGGTGGTCGCACATGGGGGTTCTACTGTAGATGATCGATGGAGACCTTGAAAAACGCAGGATTCAAACATTTTTATGACGCACTGCTAACGTACAGTAACCACGGTGCAGTGCGGACATATGAGAAATTCTGTTATTGAATGTCTTGGCTACGAGCGAGATTGAATAGGATTTGACCACGCAACCTCGTCCCCAGCGCGCTTTTCCCTGGCTTTGGAGGTGGGACGCCCCACCTCCAAAGCCAGAGAAAAGCGCCCTGGGGACGAGGTTGTTGACCACAGAAAAAAAAATCACTTATTAAGCACTTTATGTACCTTTCAAAAAGAGAAAAAGCACCCAAACTTTTTTTCCAGACTTAAACTCTATTTTCCAGACGCTTTTCAGGTCTGTAAAATTGCTCTCGATAGCAAACTTCAAGACACTTTCAAGAATTTAAGACTCTGGTTAAAGGAGCTATGTCACGAAATTTATCAGAATTCAAACGCTGGGTACCGCCACCAAATTGAGAGAAACATTAATGAGAAATAACTGCTAAAAAAAAGGTAGAAGTTATAAATGACAAAGCAACGCTACAAAAAGAACGAATGAAAAAACTTGAAGAACATTGAATGGGATAGAAATTGTGGTTTTTGCAAACATGTTCATTTATTGTTGTTTGTAACGACCGATATGATGCTTGGGAGTCATAATTTGTTTGACACAAAACTGTGATTTTTTATCACTTGTGATTTTGTAATTTAAGGTAATTCGAGTTTCACAGCGAACAACGACGCGTAACTGGCATTTAAAACAAAAGGAAGTAAACAGCTATGACACAGCTCCTTAAAGGCAGCCTTCCCGTAGTTCAAGACGTTGTACTCGGGCACTAAAGTGGGCACCGGTTCCTATGTACACAACGTTTGTGTTAGCCCCGGGGCAATCCACTGCTTCGTGACTTCAAAACAGCATTGTCCTAAAACAACAGAATCTCTTGACATATCCTCTTTAAATATCGAAAGTTGTTGTTGTTGTAGTTTTTAAATTAAGGGTCTAGTCGAGCTATCAATAGTATTTCAAGGCGTAATCGACTGGGCTTAGACCGGCACAAAATGGTGATCTGCTTACACTTAGCCTGTTCACAGACCCTCTATTTTCTCTTCAAAGTCCGTCGAGCGCGCGTGATAAAAAATAAACCGCGAGGGATTTATTGACCACCAGTACAAAGGGGTGCCTCGCTCTCGCACACGCCGATGTTTTCGAAAAGAACGAAAAGAAAAATGAAACAACGTCAGTGTACAGGCTAACATTTAGTACCTTTAACCATACACCAGGGTTCTATCTAGGGTATTTGAGGCGTAGAAGCTTCCCCCTTCCAAAAAAATGCCCAGCTCCCCCCCCCCCCCAAAAAAAATATTTTCATCATCACAGTCTATAAGTAACTATATCGGAAAAAAATCCAGAAGCGACCAGGCCAGTGCACACACCGTAACATTTCTTAAAACTGTGGCTCAAGATGAACCAAATTGCATCTCAGGCTCAGTGCATATTCATTTGAAAAAATTTCCGGGTGGGAAATGCCC